AGAAACCATTGTAAAAAGGTTTTGTCTGACGCCAAAGCTCGCTATTCCCAGGTCATTAAATCTCGTATCTCATCACAAAAATTAGGCTCTCGAGACTTCTGGAGAATCTTTAACAGTATCAATAATAAGGGCAAATCTGTTATTCCTTCTCTCTTGTATGGTTCAGACTTTGTCACCTCACCTAAAGACAAAGCTGAATTGTTTGCTAAGAACTTTTCATCAATATCATCTCTTGATTCCACTAGTTGCGTTTTACCTGACATAGCCGTCAAACAGGTTGATCCCTTGCTTGACATTCGCATCACTTCAGCTTCTGTATCTAAAGTAATTTCCTGCTTAGACTCTTCAACAGCTTGTGGTCCTGACAACATTCCTGTTGTAGTCTTGCAGAGGTGTTCTCCTGAGCTTTCATCCATACTCTCTAAACTATTTAACAAGTGCTTATCAGAGTCTTGTTTTCCATCATGCTGGAAAGCAGCATCTGTTATCCCTATTTTCAAAAATTCCGGAGAGCGATCTGATTCATCTAACTACCGTCCCATTAGTCTTCTTCCTGTCATAAGCAAGGTTTTTGAATCTTTAATCAACAAACACTTAATCTCTCATCTTGAATCAAATAACTTACTTTCTGATCATCAATATGGATTTCGGTCTTCTCGTTCTACAGCTGATGTGCTAACAGTAATAACCGATAGGTTTTACCGTGCATTAGATAGAGGTGGAGAGGTTAAGGCTATCGCACTTGACATTTCTAAAGCTTTTGATAAAGTTTGGCATGCTGGTCTTCTCCATAAGCTTTCTTCTTATGGTGTAGCTGGTAACGTCTTTAAGATTATTGAGTCCTTTCTTTCCAATCGTAGTATAAAAGTTGTCCTCGATGGACAACACTCTTCTTCACATCCTGTAACTTCAGGGGTTCCTCAAGGTTCAATCCTTGGCCCTATACTCTTTTTAATTTACATTAACGATCTTCCAGATATTCTCACATCTAAGGTGGCATTATTCGCCGACGACACTACCATTTACTCTTGTCATGATAAGAAGCCTACACTCTCTGATTGCTTGGAGGGGGTATCTGAGCTTGAAAAGGATCTCACTTCTGCTACAGCATGGGGCTCACAGTGGCTGGTGAACTTTAATTCAGATAAAACTCAATTTTATTCGGCCAATCGTTATCGTAATAATTTAGATCTTCCTATATTTATGAATGGTAATGTACTAGATGAGTCATCTACCATTCATCTTCTAGGATTAACTCTTACTTCTGATCTTTCTTTTAAACCGTATATCAAATCCATTGCAAAATTAGCATCTGCTAAGGTTGCATCTCTTTATCGAGCTCGACACTTTCTTACTCCAGATTCTATTCTCTATCTCTATAAATCTCAAATCCGTCCCTGTATGGAATACTGTTGCCACATCTGGGGCGGATCTTCTAATGATGCTCTTTCTCTTTTAGACAAGGTGCAAAAACGAATTGTAAACATAGTTGGACCTGCTCTGGCAGCCAATCTCCAACCTTTGTCACATCGTGGTAATGTTGCTTCTCTTTCTCTTTTCTACAAATACTATAATAGGCACTGCTCTAAAGAGCTAGCGTCCCTTGTGCCATCTACTAAAATTTATTCTCGTGTTACTCGCCATTCAATTAAGTCTCATCCTTTTTCTGTGACTGTTCCTAAGTGCTTCAAAAACTCTTATTCTTCTAGTTTTTTTCCTCGAACATCAGTTCTTTGGAATTCGCTTCCTTCATCTTGCTTTCCTGATTCATATAATTTGCAATCCTTTAAGTCATCAGTCAATCGTTATCTTGCTCTACAGATTTAGTCTTTTCTCTTCCAGTAACTTCCAACTCTTATAGTGGTTGCTTGCAGCCTTGTTGGAAGTGAAGATGTTAAAAAAAAAAAAAATATATATATATATATATATATATATATATATATATATATATATATATATATATATATATATATATATATATTTAATTTACGTCGTATTTTTTATAAAATTAGCTTTTTAAAACCATTTTATTTCAAAATGGGGCAAGTTGGGGCAGCAAACCTTTTTAGTTTCTTATAGAATTATACAAACTCTCTTTAAAAAAAGAATTAGTTTTGCGAAGGAAGTTTAAGGTAAGGAAGTTTAAAAGTCCTAGCTTTATAAAAATCAGTTTAAACTCGTTAAAATTGCATTTTTTAAAATGGATTTCTAACAAGTTGTATAACATATTATTAGAATATTTTCAGAAATTAAAATCAAATCATCTATTATCTTTAAATATAATGAAAAATAAAATGAATGGTTTTGTATCTGGGATGAAAATCAAGTTTTAATAATGATAAGTTTTTAATGATAAAAAAATCTGTTTTCTGTCACTTTTAAACATAAAATAAAGTAAATATATTATTTCAGTACTTATTTTTTTATTCCGTTAGAATCATAAAAAACTGCAGAAAATAGTTAGCTAATAACATTATTTAAATTGCTCTACTCAAAAAACTACATTTAGGCGAAATTTTAAGTGTTTCTAAATCACTGTGCAGTATAACTTGTTCTTCGTAATAATGCAAAAATATGTTTTATTTGTTACTGATTAACAAGTACCAGTCCAATGTGTCACTTAATGCTATGAATATTAGTTACTTAAAGGGTATGAATATTAGTTCTTTTTAGCGACAAGCAAATACATTTTTTTTATTTTATCGTTTTCTATTTTACCTTGCAGACGTCACAAGATAATTTTTAACTTATTATTTTTCTTCTTTCAACTGCATTACCTCATTAAGCCCAAACTCTTTCAAGTTTAAATGCAAACATGGCGCAGTCCGAAACACCTCTACAGTGAGAAGTTTATCGGACGGAACGAGACTTTTCTTGTTTTTGTTTAAATTGTTGTTAACTTTCTTAACCTTATTGAAATGATACAGTCAAGTTATAGATTGTTTTATTTTGAGCCAAAATCATTATAATCCGCCATCTGTCACTGTAATCCACCATCTATCTAATTTTTGACTTTTCTATAAAAATATTGATGACTATGCTGACGTTGAAAGTAGATTTTGACTTGCGACAACCTATACAAATTAATCTGCTACTGCAGTTATACATTTTTGTGTAAATAAACATATAACGCAAATGATAGGAAAAAAATTAAATTTTATTCTTAGAAATACTAAAACCAACAAAATATAAGTTATCCCATGGTTACATATATTCCAAAGATGGACTTTAGATTCGGGTAACTTTAAAAGTTGAAAAGTTTTAACTACTTTTTACACAGTTTTATTTTAAACCATTAAATATTAATTTGAAACCATTGTTAGAAAATTGAACCAGTTAATACAAATTTAAGCACATCTTAATTTTGTTAATATAATTTGACTTCAACAATTTTTTTTTACTTCTATTCACATGCAATTTAGGATTTTAGTCTTACTAGTTTGCTTATCATTAGTAAGCCATGCTTTGACAGGTGAGTTAAAATCATAGTTAAACACTTTTTCCTACCTTTTTTTGATGCTAACCCTCGACCTGCTTTAGAAGAGGTTTTATACTCTCAGGTGGTATGATTGAATTTTTAAAAACTAATGGAGTGATTGGGTCACGGTCAGAGATTTTATTTGATAGAAGTGGATCTTTTATACTTCTGTCTAGCTGATTAGCCGGTAAAATAAACTATTTAAACCTTTTATTTGGTGGTTTTAGTTGAACTGAATACGGTTAACAGATTTTTTAATTTGAATCAGCATATGAAAATGGATTTGGGCGATCCGTTACATAATTAGGACAATAATCGGCATCAGTAAAAATATCAGGATTTAATGGGTAAATACCCATTACAAAAAAACCACTCAAAATATTCTTGTGATGTCGTACTTTTGAATGACATTATAACTCAAACCAAAAATTTGAATAAACAGTTAAAAAAAAATACGCGTATTCAAGGAAAACGTGATAGCTGTCCACATTTATTTTGTGACAAGTATGCCTTTCTGTTAGTAGAAAGACTATTGTAAATTTACCTAAAAGCGTGTGAATTTAATGAGAAATTTTTATAGATTACGTTTCTCAAATGAATAATAAACTTCATAAATGTACATTTAAAACTCAATAAAATAATTTCTGTTTAGAAAAAGAAAAACTCTAAATAAGTGAAATTCAACTTATACATATCAAAAACATATAAACAAATAACTTTTTTCCACGCTGAAAAAGATGGAAATAACTGTGAAAAAGCATTTTTTTAAATAAGGTTTCTGTTGCATAATTTAAAAATTCTAAATCCACTATAGATTTTTTGTAATAAACTTTGTAACAACTAAAACCGCTTTCCTCTATTTAAGTATGAAAAATTTGATGTGAAATGGCACCGAAATAAAATTAAAAAACCATAAAATTCAAACACAAAAAATCAAAACAAACGCAAAGGACAAAAAGCATAATATACATAATTTCAAGACAAAATTCCTAAGGACCATTTCCTCAAGAAAACATAAGCAAATACTTGATTTGAATAGAGGAAAGACTGTTTGCTTTTTTCACAGGGAATCTTCTTTTTTAAATAAGCCGACCTTTAAGTTTTTAAACGCTGAGAACTAAGGCATTGTGGGTAAATGTTAAAAGGATCCATTAGATTCCTTGTCTTTTTTTAAAAACCTATATGGAAATTTTTTACACAAATTTGATGTTTTGGTACAAGTTCCAAGTTTTTTTTAATCAATAAGACATAAACGTCTTAAGACATGAATAAAATGTAAAGGAGGCCATATTAAATATAGTACTTTCTATATATAGTAGAAAAGAAGTTAAGTCAAGTGATGCAAAAAACCTAAAGATTCTAGCTTTTATAAAAAAAGATATGAGAATGATGTTCATGAAACTACATTTTTCAAACGTCAAATATTTTTCGTTGCGCAACAGAATCGTTAATCTAGATAACGAACTTGTGCGCAATAACTCTAAGCATAATTAATTCGACGTCAGCAAAAATAAAAACAAAATAATGTTAACATCATTTAATTGGTTATTAAATGTGTAAGTACATTTTTTTGAGCTATAAAATTTACTTGTGTAACTTACATAGCCTTTAAATTACATAGCTTACAAATTAATAAAGTTTGAAATGTTGCATCAAATCACTGCTTGAATGCATTAAAGCCAAACATGATTGGTAGTGAGTATATACAAATCTATTTATGGTAGAGAACATAAACAAAGCCCAAAGCCCAAAGCCCAAATTATCTAATGAAGTTCTTGAAATTTTAGTTGATAGGATCATCGAAGCCATTAACAACCACTAATATCCTTTTTCTTCTTTCTATGCCACCTACTTTCATTAGGATCAAAACCTTTTCTGTCATCACCAAAGACTGCCCATTCAGGTGTTGGAGCTAAATAATCCATATCCGAAAATGTTTTCTTTCCGTTTGAATCTTCATAAGCTTTAATCTAAAATAAAATCCACATAAAAATAAATTAAAAGCAAATGAAAAAATAAATTAAAAGCAAAAGAAATAAAAGCAAATAAAATTACCATGATATATTAAAATAATAACAAATGATTATTTAAAGTTGAAATCAATAAAGATTTCATTTAGACTAAAAGTATTTTGTAAATTTAAACCTAAAAAATGTTATGCTTTTTTAACTTTCTTGGATATTTTCTCTTTCTTAAGCAAAAAATGGAAGTATTAAAGTACGAATTAAACACTTTGGCGAAACCAAAAATTTGTTGAATTCGCGAATTTAACAAATTCTGACCCCATTTAAACAAATTGGTTTTTACGTTAACACAGTAGTTCGAAGGTTCGTGACAAACATCTTTTAAAACTCAAGATGTAAACATATTAACAACAAAACAACAAAGAGAGACAACACAAATATAGTTAGAATCAACACAACTACAACACAAATATAGTTAGAATCTAAGCATTCATATAGGTATTCATCCTAGTGTTTTAAAAAGTGGATTTTATCACTTTTATTATTATTAGTTTCTGATCAAGTTTTTACGTGTTTAAAACCAATATCACACCTAACCACAAGATAGGTCTTGCTATACTATATATTTGTTGTGTTAAACCATTAGTTTACCCATAACCTTTTACCTTGACATTAGCATGAATTTGTAAAAAATTGATCACGTGACTAGTCTTTAGGAAGTACAATACATTACTTAGTAATATTTGCTCGGCCCTTGTTAAACCCTTTTGTTTTTATCACTTGACCTAAAGCTAAAAGCTTACAATTAAAAAAATAAAGAATCATATGCTGCTTAAGAATTCCTTTTAAAGCCCTTTCCTTGAGTGACTGGAAAATACAATGCAGAGTAGCTAAAAAACTAAATAATAAAATACTTATGAAATAACACAAAAACAACAATTATTCCAAAATTAACAAATGCGAATTATAAAACTTTTCTAAAAAACTTCATGAAATTCTCAATACTTTGTTAAATTCTTGATAATTTCCTTATACTTCATCTAGTTTTTTTAGTTATTTTAAATAACTCCTTAAGTTTCAGGTCACGCCAGAACCATCATGGCCAAACAGCAACTGGTAAGATAATTTGTTGCTTTAAAGGTCTCGCATTTTTATGCTAAAGGTAAGAGAATTTAACTCTGATTTAAACAACTCCGCCAAAAGTAGGCTTTATAGTAGAGTAAAAGTTAGAGATGGCGTCTCAATAAAAAGACTTATCTGTGCTATAAAGCGTATGGATGGTATCACTGTTAATACCTTTGGTAAAATTTGTTAAAGCCACATAAGGATCTTAATTACAATTTAAGCTTAATTAGCATGACAAGGCAACTGTTTATTGCATAGGTTGCATGCACAACCTATATTTAAGTTAAGTTCTCTCTAATAAGTTGAATTGTGACTTTAGCACAAAAAACATTCAACACAAAAAACCATTATTAACAACAAATTGTTTTAATTTTTACAAGCCTTCGTCTTCTTTAAACTTTTTTATCTCTAGAATATTACCTTTTGCAAAATTCACGAAACTTATTTGCTTGTGTAGAGGTGTGCAGGTATTCACACACATTCTTATATACATATATGGATATACATACTGGTTTAAGTATGAATGTGTATACATGTGTATGACCGTCTATTAATAAAAGTGCAAAAAAAAAAAGCAAACATATAAACCTATCCAAAGAACAGGAGGAAGAGGTGCTCGAATGCATAAAATACTTCAAAGAAATTTTTGTGAAGTGGAGGAGGGAGAAGGAAGTGAAGGAGGCAGAAGAAAAAATGGTTAATGACTTGTGTCAGGCCTTACTAGAAGATAAAATAAGATCTCCACAAATAATTGAAGAGGGAAAAATTAGGCAGAGTTTGGACCACAATCCTTCACATACAATTATAAAAAAATAAAATATAAAATTTTAGATGAGAAATTACACATAGGGGCCATCCATAAATGTCCGTAAATAGTAGGGGTAGGGGGTACTGAAAAGTTTGATAAGAATTAACAATGGGGAGAGGGGAGGAGGGCGTTAAGACCAAAATCATGTCAATTAAAAAAAAAATAATTTAAGTTTATATGAGCAGATTTTTAAGGTATACACATCTACAAAGTGATAAAGAAATGGCATATTTGCTTTGTGGGGAGTTCAATGTAAGTTTCTCAGAGACATTAAATAAATTAAAAATTTAAAAACTTAGGGGTAGAAAAAAAGTAATAAAATGCAAGCACAGTTCAAAGCCACCTTCTTAAAATATATATGATAATTATATATCACTGTAATATCCTATATATATATATATATATATATATATATATATATATATATATATATATATATATATATATATATATATATATATATATATATATATATATATTTTAATTTATTTTAAATTTGTTATATTATTTGGTATTCTACTCTCACTATCCTTATTATTTCTTCAAAAATATTAGTGCTTTACAAATTTGAGTGAGGTATATACCTAAGTTCTGGTTCTAAAATTTAATATATTTTGCCGTAACCACATCTAGCGGGATAGCCTAATGTCCGTTTTGTCATTGTGGTGTACATTGGATAAAATCGGAGCTCAACAGCCACAAAGAATAAATTTTTTTGTTTATGCGACACAATGATCGCAAAAAGTGACCAAAGAAGCTATCCATTTATGTAGACTTGGGAGATGTGAAAATAAAAACAGATTGAAGATGATGTCATTTAAGTAAAAAAACATAAATTAATGTAAAGACCTTAACATTGCCTTAAGGCAGTGTAAAGGGTATTTTAAGTTGGGTTTTATTTCTTCTAGTTTTTTCCTGAAAAAAGCAAACCCTACAACTTAGCAGGGCAGTAGTACTAGGTTACATGATACCAGTAACAATTTATTTCAAACAATTTACAACAGTAAAAAAGCAAACCCTACAACTCAGCAGGTTCAGTAGTACTGGGTTACATGATACCAATAAAAAGGAGATTGTGATGATCCTGAACCTGACCTGGAAAGCCTGACAAAGCAAATAAGTTTCATGAATTTTGCAAGAGGTAAGATTCTAGAGATAAAAAAGTTACTTTAAAGAAGACGAAGATTTGTAAAAATTAAAACAATTTGTTGTTAATGATGGTTTTTTGTGTTTAATATTTTTTTGTGCTGAAGTCACAATTCAAATTACTAGAGAGAAATAAACTCAAATAAAGGTTGTGTATGGCAACCTATGCAATAAACAGTTGTCTTGTCCTGCTAATTAACCATTCATAACTAAAAACTCCTTAACAATTTGTGGCCTTAGCAATTGGCAGCAAATTATGTTGTAGACTTACCAGTTGCTGGTTGGCAACTTTTTAGCAATTGGTTTTTAGCAATAAGTTAATAGTAAACTTTCTAGCAACAGTAATTTCCATTGTAAAAAAGTTTTGTCTAAAGTCAAAGCTTGCTAAAGGTCACAAAATCTTGTACTTCATCTCAAAAATTAGGTGCCAGAAACTCTCACATCTTAAGTGACAGTGTTCGCTGATGATACTACTATTTATTTTTGTTTTGATGAGAACTTCTGATTGATTCTAAATACTCTCTGACTGCTTGGAGGGAGGATTTGAGCTTGAAAAGGATCTTACTTCTGCTATAGCACAAGGTTCAGTGACTAAAACTCTATTTTTTTAGCTAATCATTGTCACAACAATTTAGATTTTTCTATAATAATGAATGGTAGTGTACTTGATAATTCATCCACCCTTTGTCTTTTAGGATAATATCTTACTTCAGATCTTTCTTAAAAACTACATATCAAATCAATTTTCTTGCCACTTTGTTATTCCGGTATTCTTTATCTCTATATATTTCTAATCTGTCTTTATATTGAATACTGTTGCCATATCTGGAGCAGATCTTTGAATGATACACTTTCTCTTTTAGATAAGGTACAAAAACGGATTGCAAACAAAGTTGGAACTGCTCTTGCAGCCAACCTTCAAGCGTTGTCACATTGTTGTAATGTTGCTTCTCTTTCTCTTTTTTGTAACTACTCCAACAACGCTGCTCTAAAGAACTAGCGTCTCTTGTGCCATTTACTAAAATTCATTCTTGTGTTACTCACCATTCAATTAAGTCTCATCCTTTTACTGTGACTGTTTATAACTGCTCCAAAAAATCTTATTCGCCTCGTTTTACCTATCACTAATCATAATCCTAGCATTAACCAATCAATAGCAAGTTAGCATTTACTAAAGTTGCTTTTATTTTTTTTAATTCTCTACCTCTCCAAATATTATATTTGTCCTTATATGGAATACTGTTGTCATATTTGATCTGGTTATTCTTATAAAGCCCACTCTTTCTGCTTTAAACTTTGTCCCATCATAGTAAGATTGTATCTTTTTTCTTTACTTCTAACAAATATTGCAATATTTACAGCAAGCTTTCATCTCATTGCTAGCATAGTTTTAATTTTTTCTACTCATCTGTTTAAGGTGTAAATGCTAGGGCCTTTGACAAATTATAATTATTTTTCAGTGATATGATAGTTTTCTTCACATCTGGGGTTAGGTTGGGGTGTATAACCTCTTTCCTCTAACTAAGAACTATTTGTACTCCTCCTTCAATCTTTTCAAAAAAAAGTTTAAATTGTTTGATGCAGCAGAGTTCCATACCATATTGAGTTTTATTTACATTTGTATCTGTTAGAGTGGTTCTTTATCACCTTTGTCCCACAACCCAAAACCCAATCATGGCTAACTCATCATTTAGCTAAAAACTATTTAGAACTATTTGTGCTCCTTCTTCAATCCTTTCAAAATAAAAATTAAATTGTTTGACACCATTTACTATTTTAACATTTTAATGCTCTAAAAACTTCAAATTTTCCTTCATGTTTTCCTGACTTTTATTTACACAATTTATAGTTTGAAAGTTTGTCTGCTCCTAAACTCATTTCTTTACTTCATAGTAACTTATAGTTGTTTATTTTTTTTTTACTTTCTAGTAACTTCTAACTTATAGTTGTTTATTTTTTTTTTACTTTCTAGTAACTCCTAACTCAAACTTTATTTTCTAGTAACTCCTAACTCAAATTATACTTTCTAGTAACTCTTAACTCAAAATTTGTTTACTTTTGGCAGTGGATTCGTTTAAAAAAAAAATTAGGTTAGGCTATCTAGTCTACTAACATATTTACTAAAATAACTCCTAATTTTAAAATACTAAATTTAACTCTAAATTAAAAAAATCTCTCTGGTTGTATTGCGCTTAACTTCTCTGCTCGGTGGCCTTGTTTGTGAGGTTTCATGTTTTGGAATTATAAAGTTGAGAGAGGGTTGTTAACCACAATCAAGTAGCCCTCTCGGCTTTGGGAGGTGAATTACTATAAAAAACAACAACAAGGAATTCAAGATAGAGTTCAAAAATTAAGAGTTAAAAATCTAATTTTAACTCTTGGTTAACTAATTGTCTGTTTTCTAATAATAGAAGTCTAATGTTTTAATAGAAGTCTAATGTTGTCCATCATTATTAGCAATCTTACTAATAACACTAATCTTAGAAGAAAAAAATATTCATAAAATTTGTTTAAACAATTATAACAAACTAATGGTTAAAATAAAATATGCAGTAGTTATATACATATATTTATTTTATTTTATTTTACTTCACCTCCTCAAGGCCGAGAAGGCCACTACAGACGAGGAGGCTACTTATTTTGTGGCTATAACCCTCTCTCAACTCTATAACTCCGAAACACGAACCTTGACGAACAAGGCCGCTGCGCGGAGAAACGAGTTGAGCGCGGTACTACCAGGGACGTGGTGGGGATCGAACTCGGAACCACTCGTTTATGAAGCGAGCGCTCTACCACTACACCACATACCATAACTATATAATATATACATATATAACTTTGCAGTAGTTTATATTTATATTATACATATATAATATAAATAATATAAAATATATAAATATTATTAAAATAAATAATATATAATACTATATATGTATATATCTAATATATACTATAAGTTATAGTTATATAAATAATATATATTATATATGTATATATCTAATATATACTATTATATATTTATATATGTATATAACTACATGAATAATAATAACTAATTATAAACAACTGAAATTAGAAAAAACTTAATTACTTAATTTGGATTTAAAGATAAAAAAAAAAAGTTATCAATAGCTGAAATACATGTTCTTAGCGCCCAAAAGGCAACATTATTAGTGAATATGTTAAAAGTTAGCAAAATATGTAAATTAAAAATAAAATTTTCCTTCTTCAACTTCACATAAAAAGTTCTTTTAAAACAATACTACATAGGTATAAATTGCTGTAGTCCAGTCATTTATAGCACTATATGCAGAAGTTTCTATTGTGAGGCTACTTCTTCTTGCAACTTGATTAAATCATAATTGGGATTGAATTGTAAAAAATCATAACTGGGATTGAATTGTTTCATTTGCTCATAAGTTTACAGTTACATCTAGTTGGTGCTTTCTAAATTTATTCTTTTTATTTTTTCTAAACTTATGCAGGATTGTAATGCTAAAACTTGCATTTTTCTTGTTTGCATCACTGCAAAATAAAAGATTTTGCTGCTTTTACTTTTATTGTATTAAGTATTAGCACTATTTTATTATGTATTTAGTACAATAAAAGCATAAAGTAAATTTAAGAAAGTCTGTTAATAATGAAGTTTGCTACTTTACTTAATGCCAACTACAAGTACCATTTTTAATTTTTAATTCATCCCACACCAATAATTAAAAAAACTAAAAAAAATATTGCATGTGAGCCATAAGTCACAACCACCTAAGGCAATTTTTTTTAAAACAATTTTTTTTTCAGTTTACTTTGCTTATTAATTTTTAAGAATTCTTCGAACATCACTTGAAAAAAAGTTACTTATTTGTTTGATTATTAAAGTTATTTGAATCTTATTCTTGTTTTCATTAAATTATGTATAAAAACAACCACACAAAATTTTTTTCATTATTTTACATAAATTAGGTTAAAAGATCTATGTTATTTTAAACAAACTTTTGGGTGTAGCTAAAGTGTGACACCCCAAAATCTCAATTGCACAGGCCCTAGATAAAACCTAATTCATACTTAATGTTTATTTATAAATTTAAATTAAAAATGTAAAAAACTTACTAATTCATGATACTTTGCATAATCAATCCAAGTATGCCACTTATTGTTTATTTTGAACTAAATATTTATAAATAAATAAATATATATATACACATACATACATACATACACACATAAATAAACACACACAAATATGTATATATATGTATATATATAATTCATAGATAATTTAAAATGGTAATTTTAAATTATCTATAAATCATTAAAATTGTAAAGTGTGAAAGAGATTAAAAAGAAAATTGAAAAGAATAAATCAAAACTATAGTTGTAAGTTTAACAGAAAAACTTTTGCAAACTTTTAAAATAACAACTTTAATGGTCTTTTAAATATTGTGATAGAAATTGTTTTTCCAAGGGTGAATAAGAGATTTATAGTGGTAGAAAATAGAAAAAGGAACAATAAATGGCAAGCACAATAAAGAAGCAGATGCAAACTTTGCAATTGATTGTATATATAGTTTCCATGAAAGATGTGAATGATAACTTGAAAAGACATAAAGTAGAGGACTCAGTAATGGTGTTGCCATTTAAAGTTTGTTTCACATCAAAATAGATATCAACAATATCGAGATAATTATTAACAGTTCAGGGCGCGAAAAATCGTTTTTTTTAAATAAACGTTGACGTTCGTTTCTTTATTTATTGACGAACGTCTAATTTAAGAGGTATGTCAAATATCCACCCCCCCTTCCTCCACACATACACACTTTTTTTTATTTTTTTTTTTATATTTTTTTTTAAGAGAAATTCAAGATATAGAGGACTTTTTCATTAATAGATGGTTGCGCACCTCCACTACGAACCCGTGTGTCGGCCAGAATAAGCCAGTTTCATTTTAACTTCTTTAAATTTTTTTTTTTAAATTTAAATAACTTTTTTATTTAATTATAAGGGAGTTTTATTTTCAAATTAATTTTATTCTAGTTAATAAGATATATAATAATTAGATATATCAAAGATACTTATCGAATTTTATCAATTTTTATTAACTTAAAACAATTTTTCACGCATTTGCAAAGTGTGCGCAAATTAATGATAACTAATATGCAATAAACTTTTCACTGTAAACTGTTATCTATTAATGCAAAATAGTGAATTTTTCTCAATTTAGTTTGTTAAATTACAAAAAAAAAGATATAAACTTTATAAAATTTAAATAAAAGGGAACTATATAAAAATAAAATAAAAGTTATTTTGACATTTTTATTTTTTAAATATTTAAAAATAATAATATAGTATTAAGCATTTAATAAGTTATTAAATTTATAATTTAATAAGTTACAATTAAATACCTGATATGCTATTATTATATTTATAATATTAAGTATTTAATAAAAAAATATTATTTTATTGGTTGTTGTTAAACGCGCAGTAAAAAATGAAAACTATAATCAACATAAAAGTTCTATTAAATCTATTAAATTTTATATAATTCTGCAAATTTTTTTAAAATTAAAAATTTGTTTTACACATAGGCTTTTAAATGTCTCTAGGGTTAAAAAAAAGTTAAAGAGAAAATATTTGCACCAAAGATTAGGTACATATTTGATACTATATAGGTGTTTTTTACAAATTTTCAAAATTATTTTTGGACACCCAAAAAAGTTATGACCAATTTTATCAAAATTGTTGAATATTTCTAAATTAAAAAATTAAAAAATAAAACTGTTTTGTTTATGGTTATTTAGAGATTTCATTGATGATTGATATTAATGATATATAATGATAACCAATGACATTAATGATATATGATGATAACCAGTAACATTAATGATACATGATGATAACCAAAATCATTAATTATATATGATAACCAATGACATTGAACAACTATTATTTTAGAAACTCATTTTTTTTTTGCAAAAATACTATCACAGCTCACGGGCAACAACAATGGGGGGCCAAGATCAAACCCATTGTGTCAGTGTATTGTTTGCAAAACAGCACGCTATGATCCAATTACCAAAGGTGATGCATACTCTTGGGCATTTTCATTCCTACTGGAGTAACCTCCAGTAGCACAAGATTTTTTACCATTGCAGGGTCCTGTCAAAGCCAGCGTTGTTGGCAATTAATAGGGAGTGGAATCTCTCACTCGAGCACTTGCACTGGTCAAAATGAAAAAGAAAACCTTAGTATATCTCTGATTCAGTTTCCTCGTGCAGCAGAGATCATTGCAACCGACATTATAAAACCTGACATAGGACCTGGAAGGGCAAAAAGTCAATAAAATCTAGTCTTTCAGAGAAACTTAGTGAGCATGATAAACATTTGACATCCTTTTATAGCGCAACAAATATGCTTTTTGATGTAACAAATGTTGAAAACCATACAAGGAAAGCTCATCATGGAATAGTGTATTGCCATAATATTTCTGGATTAATTGATCATATACTTGAGAAATGTGAACTTTCAAATGAGTATATGATCAAAATAAAAATTGATTGAAGTGGAGGTTTTCTCAAATGCTAATTCTGCATGAACATAATCGCTAAAATAACCAAGAAAAACAAAAACTTTGGTGTTCTAAATAAGCTTGTTTTCAATCTTTTCAAGATTCTGTGTAAAGAAACTCATAATTTCCAAGATTCTGTGTAAAGAAAATTTTTTGTTTAATCTGTAAATGAATCTTATAAAAACTTTAAACAAATTTTAGATTTGCTTGCTCTCACAACAGCTGTAGACATGAAAATGGCTAACACATTTCTCAGAATAGGCTCTGCTGAATCCACACATATATGTCCCTGGTGTGAAACTTCAAAAAATGATTTTGGAAAGCCAGGTTTGACTAGACAGTTAAGAACACTTGGGATGACTAGATAATTAAGAACACTTGGGATGACTAGACAGTTAAGAACACTTGGGATGACTAGGCAGTTAAGAACACTTGGGATGACAAGACAAGAACACTTGGAATGACTAGACAGTTAAGAACTCTTGGGATGACAAGAAAAGAACACTTGGGATGACAAGATCAAATGCTCAAAACTATTAAGTAATTTTTGAAATTCACATGAAAAAACAAAACTCTCCGCAGATCGATACAAAAGTTGCATAAACCTCCGTTTAATTGATCTTCCAGATGACACACTTGTTCTTGATTTCCTACTTGTCATAGAATTTGGAATTGCACTTTTGGAATTGCTCTTGGTATTACCAACTGCCTTTATAATCACTTGAACACTATCTTGAATCAACTTTTTGATTCTTTAAAGCTACTGACTGGTCAAATAAATTTGGCATCCAAATGTCTTCAATGCACGGAGAGGAATTCAATGGTAATCAATATTAAAAACTCTTGAATAAAAAATTTTGAAAAAAAATCTTTTTAAAATCACAGTGTCAAAGCTTGTTTTTTGAATTTTCTATTTTTTATTATTATTATTATTACATATATTTTATTATTATTTCTATATATTTTATTATTATTAGAACATTATAATTTGGATTTTTATTAATAATCTATGTTTTATTAGTTGATAAATGATTTTTATTGTGGTTTAAAATTAAGCTTAATTACAACAAGATATTTTAAAATACTTTCAAGATACCAATAATTTTTAGGCTCCTGTAACAAATAAGATCCTAATAATTACAACACATTAAAAGCAAAGGATTTAAAAGTATTTGTAGATTGCTTTTTTTTTTATTTGTCAATACTTTGTTGTTGTGAAAGAGATTCCATATTTTTTTGATAAAATAAGTGCTCAATTCAAGTAACAAACCTTATAGCGTATATATCAGCATACGCTTTATTTGAAAGTAGAAAAGTGAATGATATTAATAGTTTACAATATTACTTTTATTTACGCAAATTACTTCTAGTCTACACTTATAGATCCCTTTAATGAAAATGACTAGAATATGTGAGAAATGTAAAAATTTTTATAAAAAATAGTGACAAGCAACTCAAAAAGTTGTTGGGCAACCAAAACTAACCAACTGGTTACTTTCAGCCGTTCTTCTGGCGACTGACCAAGAGTAGGAGTGTACACCCCTGTTGGTGCATAATAAGATAGTCGCTTCTCACTAACCGAAAATTTGATCCAACAGAGATATTTTTGATATATAAGTTATACTTTTGTTGTATTAGACGCAAGTAATCTGCAATGCTATAACTAGACTGAACAATTAAAGCCCACAGAAAAATATTAAAAAAATTTTTATCGAAAAAACTTTTTATATAAAGGAGGATAAGTAATAAAAACAAAGAAAAAGGATCAGACCTTAGCATCAGACAACCTTAGCAGCAGACCTTTTTTACATTGATTTCTTGCAATAAGAAAGATTGTAGAAAGCTGCACAAAAAACCATTAATTAGAGTGAAACTTAAATTAAAACAAGAAGGAATAGAAGCTTTTTCTCCTAAAACAAGAAGGAATAGGAGAAGGTTTAGGAGTATATAGGAGTAATAGGAGTAATAGGTTTAGGAGAAGCTCCTAAAACCGAGTGATTATAAGATATACAGTTTTTAACAGAGATAAAAGAAATCAGCCTAAAGACTATTACAAAGAAAATAACAAAAAAATCCAACTCAGCTGCAATATTAATTTCACTCATAAGGTAGAATAAAATAGCTTGACAAGGTAATCCAAGAAGAGGTAATAGTTTTAGTGAGATCATAAAATCATCTGAACCTTCAAACAAGAAAGAACAAGTAGAAACTGAGCACAAGCTATGGTAAAAGAAATAACAATCTAGGAGTAAAGGTAACTGATTTAGGTTATCAGGAACTTAAGTCAAAAAGACGGTCAAAAACTAAGCATGTGGAACATGTGTCTATTGGAATACGGTACTACTAATACTCTGATATATAAGATTTGTTGATGGAATCAGCTTTTCTCTCACAGAGTTTGAGCTCACAGAGTTTGAAAAATCTTACAAACAGATGGCGTCAGAGTCATTAAACTGAGTTTTAGAGATGTACCCTAATTAAGAGATTAAAGAAAGAGTTTCCAAAAAAGCCCAAGCAAAAACCAATGACTAGAATCAAGATCCAGTATTTATCATTATAGACATTGTAAAACAGGTTTACATCTACACTAACCTATATAACAAGGCTGGTCAACAGAATTGTTATTGACAACAAAAATTAATAAATTGCAAATATCATCTAGCTATCCTAAAGAAAATAACTAGAGTATAAAAAATGACAATGTGCCAATAATCAATTATCATTTAGAAGAAAATGGAGTTCAAACAATTTGAAAAATGCCATTATGTTTAAGCTATTTACAATGATTTATTTGATTATATGAGAGAATTGTGATGACAATTACAACCCATCAGTTATTTATAGTAAAAACAACTTGAATTATAATTTATATTATAAGTTTCATAATGAAATATAAATAATGTAAATGACCCATAGTTTATAATTAAAAAGAACAACTAAAGTAAAACATTTTAATAATGAATTATCAAAAACTAAATTCTCGCAACTTAAAAAAAGTCAGATAAAATCTTATATTTCTAATGCAACTTATTAAAACTGGCATTAAAATTAAAAATTATTGCCATTAACATTATAATTGGAAATATTATTATTTTTTCAAATATTATTATTTTAAAATGCAACAAGAAAATAAATTACTCTTTTATGACATAGAAGAACACAATTTGAATGCTCGTGTTCTGACGCTAACTCATAATCAGGAAGAGATTCAGCTAATGTTTTGACAAAACTTACAACCTATAATAATAAAAACCTATGAAATTACCTTTGAAGAAAAAAAAAGTATTTTATTATAGTATATTATATAAAATTATGTTATATAATATAAAACAAAAACTTATTTAATTAACAAGAAGAAAAAAAAAAAAAAATGTAGGGCTACTTCTTCATGCCATGGAATATTTTCCATGGTCAAACTTGATGCTTTTGATTCTCCACAATAGGTTACACCCTAAATGTAATCAAAATATTCTACATCTTAAATGCAATAAAAATATGTTAAACCATAAATATAATTATGTTAAACCTCAAAAATACAATGATAATTTGTTACAACCTATATGCAATTAGGAGTATGAAACAATATTAAAACTAAATAATTAAAACTTAGTTAATACTTGGAATAAGGCATTTCATAAATAAAACACCTACCTTGACTTCAATAAAACCTGGTTGTCCAAGACTAACTAATTTTGCGTAGGATTCAATTTCTTCTGTATTGAAAGCTTTAACTAGCGTAAGCCGGTACACAGTCCGTTGACCCTTGATATTTTTAATAATAAATTGCAAAACTTTAAAAAACAATATTGTTAAGTCTAAGTAATAAAATTCTACTGTCTACTAATGTCACAAAACTGATCTACCTAATCTATTACCTAGTTTACAAAGTTAGTTTACATAAATTTTAACAACTTTTAAACGTTTTTTTAATATTTTGCTTAATTTAACTTATATAATTCAAATTCTAATTATTTTAAAGATGTCATAATTCAAATATAATTCAAATTCTAATTATAATTATATAATTATAATTATATTTATAATTCAAATATATAATGTATAATTCAAATGTATAATTCAAATTCTAATTATTTTAAAGATGTCAAGAGTACATTAGTGGTGTAGTGGTAGAGAACTTATCTCATAAGCGAGAAGTTATAAGTTTGATTCCCACCAAGTTCCAGGTAGTACGCTTAACTTGTTTCTCCATGCAGTAGCCTTGTTTGTCAATGTTTGTGTTTGGGAGTTATTGAGTTGAGAGAGGATTGTAACCACAATTTAAGTAGCCTTTCCGACTGTATTGGCTTTCATGGCTTTGGAGAGGTGAATTAACATAAATAAAAAAAAAGCTACACTAAATTTTGGTTACAAGCCATTATCAAATTTGTAACTCTGAAAATAAACCTTGACAAACAAGGCTGCGCAAAGAAGCAAGTTAAGTGTGGTGGCACCAGGGATGTGATAAAGATCAAACTTAGAACTTTTTGAATACAAAATGCTCACTACACCACTATTTACTCATGCCAATTTCGACTGTTTTATAAACAGCTGAAAATCAGCTAAAAATTGAAATTTTTCTTTTCCAAATAACTGATTCAGTTGTGATTGAAGTAAAACTATATAAAAATAAAATATACTTTCGACTCTTAAATAAGAAAATATTTGTTATTTTATAGTATTAAAAAGTAAATTTGAAGCAATGTGAAACAGTGTTTAGATTGCATCACTTGAGATTGACATCACATAACATGCAATTAGTAAATAAACTCTATACTCACTGTGTGAAGAAAAAAAGACATCAATTACTGAGAAAACTAGATGTAAATATGATTTATCCATACAAAATGTTTAACACAATTCACTTAAAAACAATCTTCTATATTTTAATTAAAATTAATAATAAAAAACTCCTTAACTTTTAATAATTTATGAATAAAATGTAATTAAAAAAACCTTTTCAGATAAAGCCGATAAACTGTCTAAGAATCGTTGCCAGTAGTCACGAAATAGAGGCCTGTCGATTCGTTTTAAACTTTCTTTTGTTGCAGCATCAACACTTACATAAAGCTGAGTTACAGGCTTTAACTGTCTGAAATTTACAATTGTAAAAGTTATTATAATCATAATATGAAAAGTATTTTAAACAAAAAGTATAAATCATTTTGAAGTAAAAAAAAAATTTATATTTTTAAATACTTGATAGCATCTGGAAATTGAGCATTGGTTACCAAAAATGTAGAAATTTTTTTTCCGTGCAAAAGATTTATTAGCTTGTTGATTTCTGGGTACATTATTGGTTCTCCTAATTATATAAAAACATAAATTATTTATATCCTATTTATTTGAAAACATAAGTAGATACAAAACACACAATTATATAAAAACATAAATTATTTATATCCTATTTATTTAAAAACATAAGTAGATACAAAACACACAATTATATAAAAACATAAATTATTTATATCCTATTTATTTGAAAACATAAGTAGATACAAAACACACAATTATATAAAAACATAAATTATTTATATCCTATTTATTTGAAAACATAAGTAGATACAAAACACACAATTATATAAAAACATAAATTATTTATATCCTATTTATTTGAAAACATAAGTAGATACAAAACACACAATTATATAAAAACATAAATTATTTATATCCTATTTATTTGAAAACATAAGTAGATACAAAACACACAATTATATAAAAACATAAATTATTTATATCCTATTTATTTGAAAACATAAGTAGATACAAAACACACAATTATATAAAAACATAAATTATTTATATCCTATTTATTTGAAAACATAAGTAGATACAAAACACACAATTATATAAAAACATAAATTATTTATATCCTATTTATTTGAAAACATAAATTAAAAACAAAACACACAGAAAAAGATGAGCTCTTTTTATATATCAATAAGAATTTTGCAAAAAAATTTATTCAAAACTAACATAGCAAAATCTGTTTCCTTATTGTGAAAAAATTTATTTTACCATTTAACCACATTTACTTGATGTTTTTGAAGAAACATAATATAAAACCCTTACAAAAATAACACAAAAGTGGTAAAACATTTACCCACAAGTGATAAAGCACAATGTTGAATATCCATAGCTTCTTGGAATCTGTCTAACTTGACACCTGGAACGCCTGAAAAGTATAAAAACAAAGCATTTTCAAATAGTAACTTATTATATGTAAAAAACTTTAATATTAAAATAAAAAATTGTGCAGGCTTAAATAAAAATTTTATAATAAATTTTTCTTTCTTATAAAATAAGTATTAATTCAAAAATTCTTGTAAATTTTAGATCAAGAAAAGATCAAAGTACTGTAATTAGTACATTGTATATTATTTATTATTATTTAAAAAAAAAAAAAACAACCTACCAGCCAAAACTTGTCAGCTCCTGTCAAAATTTGTTTTATTAATAGTTTGCATTTTTAAGTATTTCTAATACTGAATAAAAAGTACTCAGGTTAAATGTCGTAGTGGTTGGAAATTTAAATGTAAACCACATATACCAAACTAACATATACCAAACTAACATATACCAAACTAACATATACCAAACTAGAGTAGAGTTATGAAAATCTGAAGAGAAACATAGAGACTAAAACAATGATGATGATGGCGATGATAATGATGATCATAATGATGATGATAGTACCATAAATGAACAAACCCAGGTCAGGATAATCAAGATCAATCCCGCTACTGGTATCACGTAACCCAGTACCACCTGCCACAAGCCCTGCTGCCTTGCCGAGTGTGCTCTTCTTAAGCAAAGGCTAGGAAAAACAAACCCGACTAAAAATTCCCCTGCCTTGGGGCTCTTGGTTGAGTAAAGGCTAAAGATGGTGTCTCGATAAAAATACTCATCTTGGGCAGATGTTAACTGCATCCAGCTACTGTCTTGTAGAAGGCCTCCTAGGCAAAGACTTTAGGGGTAAGCAGAAAAATTCTGCTAACCAGCCTCAAACCCCTTCTTCATCTATTAGGCTGGCGTAGATGTAACCTGTGTTACATTGTTTCCTGCCTAGGATGATGAATGCTGGATCTCCTTGACTCTACTCATAGAGTTTTGCTTATGCCTCCTTGATAATGGCTATGCAACTCTTCCTGTTATCTCCATATGAGAGTACAGCTCTAAAACTCAGTTTAATGGTTCTGAGGCCGGCTGGTAGTAAGGTTTCCCGAACTCTGTGGTAGCTCTCAGAGAGGCTGATTCCATCAACAGCTGCAAAATATCAGAGTATCAACAGTGCCATGTTGCGCATGGATGGTGTCCCTGTTAATGCTTTTGGTGTGCATTGTCAAGGCCACATAAGGAGCCCTATGTCACAGCTTAGGGTTAATTAACAGGACTGAGACAACTGCATAGCTCATTGATTAGGAGGCTGTGCTCTATCTATGAATGAGTCAAGTTCTCATTAAACCCAATCATGACCAAAGTAACCAAAAATTTAAAACCTAAAAAACCATCACTACCACCTAAATATTTTAATGAATCTTTTACAAATATTCGCGGTCTACGAAGCAACTTTCCATCAGTTGAGTCTTACCTCCTGCAAAATTCAACAGACTTGCTTGCACTCAGTGAAACAAATTTAAGTTCTGCAATTCCTTCTTCAGATGTCAGTGTTGATGGGTACTATCCTTTGATTCGTAAAGACTCAAACAGTCACAAGCTAGGTTTAGGGGTATACATACGCATTAATTCCCCTATTTGTCGTGAAATCAGGTTCGAATCCTTGGACCATTCTTTTATGTGCTTTCGCCTAGCACCTCTTTACTCTATCACCTTTCTCGTTGTTCTTTATCATTCTCCTTCTTCCCATGATTGCACTCTCTTAGATGTTATCTCTGATCAAATTGACCATGCCCTCTCTCTTTACCCCTCTGCCAATATTGTTGTTGTTGGTGATTTTAATGCCCATCACACTGAATGGCTTGGCTCTAACACCACTGATCCTGCTGGCACTAAAGCCTTTAACTTCTGCGTTTCTCAATCTCTTACTCAGATAGTTAACTTTGTGACTCGTTTTCCTGACAACCCTAATCATTTACCTTCACTCCTTGACTTATGTCTTGTCTCTGACCCTAGCTTATGTTCAGTTTCTCCCTTTTCTCCCTTAGGTGGTTCTGACCATGCGATGATCTCGATAAATCTTTCTTCTCGTACTTCTTTTTTGGGCTCACCTTATCATCGCACCACCTTCTATGACCCTAAAGCTGACTGGGATTCCTTTCGTGATTTTCTTCGTGATGGTCCTTGGGCTGATGTTTTTTCTCTCTCAGCTGACAAATGCGCCTCCTATGTAACCTCCTGGATTCAGGCTGGAATGGAAGTTTTATTCCTTCGCGTCAGTTTCAAGTCAAGCCTCATTCTACTCCATGGTTTTCTCCTTCTTGAGCGGCTGCTATATCCAATCGTAATCATTTTTTTCATCTTTTTCAAAAGAACAACTCTTTTGAGAACAAACAGCTATTTATTATTGCAAGAAATTGATGTAAAAAGGTGCTTTCTGATGCTAAACTCCATTATTCTCAGTTCACTAAATCTCGCATCTTATCACAGAAGTTAGGCTCTTTTGGAAAATCTTCAACAGCATTATTAACAAGGGCAGATCTAACATTCCATCTCTCATTCATGGGACTGATCTTATTACCTCTCCCAAGGATAAGGCAGAACTATTTGCAAAGAACTTTTCTTCTAATTCCACTCTTGAATCTTATGGACATTCTCTTCCTTCCATTCCAGTCAAACAGGTTGACCCATTGTTAGACATTCAAATCACTCCGGCTTCTGTTGCTAAAGTCATATCTTAATTAAACTCGTCTACAGCATGTGGTCCAGACAACATTCCTGTCACAGTCTTGCAGAATTGTTCTCCAGAACTTTCTTCAATTCTCTCTAAACTATTTAACAAGTGTTTGACTGAGTCTTGTTTTCCTGCTTATTGGAAACTGGCATCTGTAGTTCCAATATTCAAAAACTCTGGAGAAAATTATGACCCCTTCAATTATCGTCCAATCAGTCTTCTTTCTGTTATTAGCAAGGTCTTTGAGTCTTTGATCAACAAATTCCTCACATCTCATCTTGAGTCAAATAAACTACTGTCAGACAATCAATACGGTTTTTGATCCTCTCGCTCTACGGCCGACTTGCTAACTGCTGTAACTGAAAGATTTTATCGTGCATTAGATGGAGGCGGGAAGGCTAGGGCTGTTGCTCTCGACATATCTAAAGCTTTCAACAAAGTTTGGCATGCTGGTCTTCTCCATAAGCTTGCTTTATATGGTGTTTCTGGGAAAGTTTTTGAGATTATCAAATCATTTCTTTCTAACCGGTTTATTAAAGTCATCCTTGAAGGCCAACACTCTTCTTTGTTTCCATTAACTTCTGGGGTTCCCCAAAGTTCCATCCTGGGCCCTGTTTTGTTTCTTATCTACATAAACGATCTTCCTGACAACCTTTCATCTAAAGTAGCTCTTTTTACTGATGACTCAACTTTATACTCCTGTCTTGACAAAAAGTCTTCTCTTTTCGATCGCCTAGAACAAGCAGCTGATCTTGAATCCGATCTCACTTCAGTAATAGATTGGGGTTCACAGTGGCTTGTGAATTTCAACTCTAAAAAAACCCAGTTGCTTACTGCAAACAACTACCATAATATGGTCAACATTCCTATATTAATGAATGGCAATCCTCTTACTCAGTCGTCCTCTTTACGTCTTCTTGGATTATCGCTTACTACTGACCTTTCATGGAAACCATATAGACAATCGATTGCTAAATAGCCTCTGCTAAGGTTGCTTCTCTTTATCGTGCTCGCCATTTCCTTACTTCTGATTCCATTCTCTACCTCTACAAATCTCTTATTCGTCCCTGTATGGAATACTGTTGTCATATTTGGGCTGGTTCTTCTAACGATTCACTCTCTCTTCTTGACAAGGTCCAAAAACGCATTGTAAATGTTGTTGGACCTGGACTATCTGCTAAGCTTGAACTTCTTTCCTATCGTCATAAAGTTGCATCTCTTTCTCTTTTCTACAAACACTATCATGGTCACTGCTCAAAGGACTTATCATCTCTAGTTCCATCAACTAAAAACCATTCTTGTTTTACTCGTCATTCAGCTAAGTCTCATTCGTTTACTGTATCTGTCCCTGCATGCTCTAAAAACTTTTATTCATCTAGTTTTTTTCTCCGCACTCCAATCCTTTGGAACTCTCTCCCATCTTCATGTTTTCCTGACTCATACAACCTTCAACTTTTCAAGTCTTCTGTCAACCGTTTCCTTGCTCTATAACTCTGTTCTTTTTTTTCCTAGTAACTCGCAACTTAATAGTGGTTGCTTGCAGCCTTGTTGGGAATGAATGCAAATAAAAAAAAAACATGCAAAATTACAAAAGAAAAACAAAACAGTAATAAAAAGCTTTTTTTTTATTTTCGTTGATCTATTAATTAAAGGAAGGTCTACTTTGAGTATCTTCTTTGAGAATCTTCTCTAAGTTTGTGTTCAGTCTATTTTAAAATCTTGTTCCTCAGTGTGGAACTTTTATCTTTAAAAAGATAAATAATAGATAACAAAAAGTTCAAAATGTTTGACTAGAATTGTCTGTAAAAGTGTTTCTTCATAAAGATTATTTTTCAAAACTTATTACTTATTCATTAACACTAATTACTTACTAATTATTTACTAATTACTTACTAATTATTTACTAATTACTTACAAAATTAACTCTCTAAAACTAGAATGAATTCTCTAAATAATCTTTAAAATTATACAAATTCAAATTATAACTTATTTTTTTGTTTTTGTTTTACATATTTGCTATTTAACAAGATTTCACGCCTAAAAAACTCCCAAAATACCTGTATAATAATTTTGTAATTTTCTTTAAATGCAAAAAAGTTAAAATAATACAAAAGATTCAATTACCTTTAAACTGCTTAATCATTTTGTAGTGGTTTTCCATAGCTTTTTCAACAATAATATTTGGATCATCCATTGCCCATTTCCATTCTGTACCAACAGGATTTGTATGATGCCTTTATAAATAGAGTATTTGAAATTCTTCATGAATATTAAGAAAATTTTTTTAAATACACATTTTTATTATTTCCATACACAAAATAATAATAGTAGGAATTGGTCAAATCTTTAAACTGGCTTAATTTTTTTTCAAGTCATAACTACACAGCCTGCTATATGGCTTCTATATGACCCGCTACATAGTAGTAGCTCGATATATAGGTACTAAATAGACTGTGGACTACCCACTTACAATATAGCTTTTATACAACACATAACCTGTTATACTAATGCTACTACTAATGTTTTAAAACAATTTTAAATAATGATCATGTTTTAAATAAATTTTTGTAAGAATCATTAAATTTTATATATCCAAAAACATTTTGGTTGCAAAAAAATAAGTAAGAATAAGTGAATTAATAAGTTGATTTTCTTTGAGATTTATTGACCTTTTTTTTTTTTTTCCTGTTCCTTAGTGTTATAACAGGTGTTGAATTATTAATTATTTTTAACTCTTAGTTAACTTAAAAATAATATTTTTAAATGAAAAATAAAACTGACCTCCAACAAAAAACACATTTATTTGCACAAGCAAGACTTGGTGTAGTTTCCATACATCTATGACTTTCAATACCATAAAATGTGTGTTTGTAACAACCTCCTCTACCTCTCATCATTGACTAAAATTTATCATATTATTACTAAAAATTGAAAGAAGTTTAAACGAAATATTAATAGAACATAAAGTATATATATATATATATATATATATATATATATATATATATATATATATATATATATATATATATATATATATATATATATATATATATATATATGTATATATATATATATATAGTGAAAATTTTTATAAGCAAGCAGCAAACAATCAAAGAAAGCTTTTAATAAAAATACAGTTAACCCCCAGTTATTTGAACTTCCTATGGGAATAAGAATACACTTCAAATAACAGAAATTTCAAATAACTGAAAACTTTCTTTTTAGTGACCTTCTTTGAAGTGATTTCAAATTACTATCAAATTTTAACGAAAGTAAAAAATTAAAAAAAATTAAATGTAGTCTTTTCCCTGTAAAAAAAACAAATTCTTTATAACTTTTTGAAAAAAAATTGTCCATCTTGATTGCTTATTTTATAAAAACATCTTCAATACAAAACTTTGTGATGGTCTAATTTTGCTGCCATTATTGTCAAAAAGGGACAAATATTGAAGTAACTCTAATCCAATCTTTTCTATTATTAATATAGGCAGCTTTTCACCAGCCCCATTTCTAGCTGCAAGACGCAAGCTGATTACAATTTCTAGCTTGCAAGATGCAAGAGCTATTACATGAATTTTGTTAAATTTTACCACTAAACAACATTCACAAATTAAAGGATTTTTTTGAAAGCCGTTGATAAAATAAACTAAACTCATAAGTGTTGTAAACATCCTCCAATTCATGCCTTAAGAGGATCTTAGGAGGATCTAGCCAACCTTCTGAAGCTTTAAAACCTGTTATGTTGAATTTCTTCGCAAAAATTAAAGTTTTTCCCTGATGATGCATCGGCCAATCAGTACATTATGTTAGGTGCATTCATAAAAAATTTATATACAGCCTTGCAATGTGTTTGATTTTTTAAATTAATTTTGAAATGCAATGCTATCTTAAATTGAAAAAAAATTTCGTATATATCTGAAAGGTTTTTGTTTAGGGGAGCAATAAGTCATTTCTAATAAACAAAATTTTTAATAACTGTAGGTTTGAAATGCATATTTGCATGAGTTAGTTAAGGAAAGCTTCTAATTGCCAGTTCAAATAACTGAGAGTTTACAGTATTATTTTGAATTAACCTTTGTCCATCTACATATTTTTACACCAGAATGTGATCCAATAATTTTGTACCCTAAGTTTGTAAAATATTTTCAAAAGTATATTATAAATTTTAGATGTAATAAAAAAGCATTAAATAATTAATAAATTTTAGACATGAAAAATAGATTTGTTTGTAGTATTTTAAGTTTTTTTTTATTATTATCTATTTTTGATATTTTCCATTTTATCTTTGGTTTCAAATATTATTTGTATTTTTATAATCTATAATTACAATACAGTTTTATTTAATCAAAGTAAAAAGAATATATAGTATAACAAGAATGAAATACAAAAAAATAACTAAAAACAAAGAAAAAAAAACGCAACCCTGTTTTTCCAATGACTTTTTCAATAAAGGGGTAACCATCTCACGATTAACTGGTGCAGTTTTTTCTCCTGTAAAGTTTTTTATTTAAATAAATGATAATTTAAAACAATAAAATTGATGATTTTTCAATTTCCTATTTTCAGTTTACATGATCATCATCATAAAGAAAAAAAATTAGAAATAATAAACCACTAACCCACAAACGATTCATCATATTCATCCTGTAAGAATAAAAAACAAAACAATAACATTAAATTTAATTACATTTTTTTAAAGTTTAATTATGTTAAATTTATGTTGACGGTCAAATTTTAAATCTGTGTATTTTTTTTAACCTCTTTTTACTTCCAACAAAGCTGCAAGAAGTTATTGTAGGAGAAAAGATGAAACTTATAGAGCAAGATAATGATTAACAGACAACTTTAAAAATTGCAAATTATATGAATTAGAAAGACAAGATGAAGGAAGCAAATTCCAATGAACTGATATTAGAGGAAAAAAACTAGACAAATAATAATTTTTGAAGCATTTAGGAACAGTCACAGTATAAGAATGAGGCTTAATCGAATGACGAGTAACACAACATTTTAGTTGATGACACACGCTAGCTTTTTAGATAAAGAGATGCAACCTTAGAAGATGCTAGTTTTGCAATAGATTTGATATATGGTTTCCAAGAAAGATCAGGAGTAAGAGTTAATCCAAGAAGATAAAGGGTAAATGACTTATTGAGTACATTACCGTTCATAAATATAACAATTAGCTGAAAAATATTAAGTTTTTCTGAGTTAAAGTTTACCAGCCACTGAGAGCCCCATGTAGTAGCAGAAGTGTGATCCTTTTCAACTTAAATGCCCCCTCCAAGCAATCAGAAAGTGTTGGCTTCTTCTTAAGACAAGAATAAATGGTAGTATCATCAGCAAACAATGTCACCTTAGATGAGAGAGTTTCTGGGAGACCATTAATGTAAATTAAAAAAAAAAGTAAAGGGCCAAGGATAGCACCTTAAAGTACCCCTGAATTTACAGGATATGAAGAAGAGTGCTGTCCATCAAGAAATTTTTATACTACAATTGATAAGGAATGATTCGATAATCTTAAAGATGTTACCTGATACACCATAAGATAAGAGCTTTTGAAGAAAACCAACATGCCAAAATTTATTAAAGGCTTTGAAACGTCAAGAACAATAGCCTTAACTTCTCTACATCTATCTGATGTATGATAAAACCTATCAGTTATTACTGCAAATAAATCAGCAGTAAATCAAGAAGATCGAGATCGATAGTTCAAATTCCTTACTTTTTGTCTTTCTTTAATCAATAACGGCTTTAAATCAAGAAAAATTGTAAAATACTGCAAATATTTATGTCAAATCTTTTTATATATATTTTTAAGCTTTTCAATATTTTAAAAGATTTTGACAAATAATGAACATCAATGGAAATGGACATCAATATTAGCAAATAACAAGATAAAAGTGTTTTAGAAAATTTTGAAAACAAATCATAGTTGCTACTTATAGTTATAATAAAAAAACTCAAAAAAATACCAAGAAAAGTGTTTTTCAAAGGGACTATATACCACTAGCAGATCATAGATAGTATATAAACTTGTTGACTATTGTAAAAAAAAAGTTCTATTCTGCATTTAATGAAAATAGTGAGGCAAGGAACATATTATAGAGCATGCAACTGATTTGAATTTTATCTTCTTTTTTTTGTGACAGTTTCAGGCTTGCAATAGCTGGTGAATTTTCACCCAAATAAAACTAAAGTCCATGATAAAAGATGAAGTATTTTTTAATTAAAGATTCAAAAGCCTTGCTAACGATAGTAAGAAGACAAATGAGACAGTAGTTAGACAAGTCAGATCTTCAAAGTTTTTGAAAATAGGGATAACAGAGTCCATTTTCCAGCAGGCTAGAAAAAAGACTCTGATAAGCACTTGTTATATAGATTTTAAAGTATAAACGACAGCTCCGGAGAGCACTTCTGCAAGACAATAACAGGTATTTTGTCCAGACCACAAGCTGTAGAAGTATCTAAGCAGGAAATCACTTTAGATAAAGAAGCTGGAGTGATTTGTACATCTGGCAATAAATTAACCTGTTTGTTGGCTATATCAGGTAGAATGCGACTAGTGGAAACAAGAGACTATATTGATAAAAAGTTCTTTGCAAACAATTCAGTTTTGTCTTTAGATAAGAAGAAAAATTCTGAACCATGCAAGAGAAGTGGAATAACAAATTTATAATTGTTATAGATACTGTTAAAGAGTTTCCAGAAGTCATGAGAGCTTAATTTTTCAGATGAAATACGAGATTTTGTGACCTGAAAATTGCAGACTTTGGCATTGGACAAAACTTTTTTACAATGGTTTCTAGCAGTAGTAAACAGACTGTTTTCTGGGGAATACTTTTTAGATGATAGATATAAAATGATTGGAAATTGCAGCAGCACAATGAGAGGCAAACCATGGAGAAGAGTGAGGCTTGAAATTGTAGAGAGGGAATAAAATATTCCATGCCTGAATCCGAGAAGTGGTGTAAGAAGCACATTTGTCAGTAGGAAGACGAAAGATTCCTACCCTAGAGCAATAACCAAAAAAATCACAGAAAGATTCCCAGTCAGCTTTAAGGTAGTTGTAAGAGGTACAGTGATAAGAGGATCTTGATGATGGAGAAAAATGAGATAATAGTTTTAGAGAGATCAAACAGTGATCAGAAGCACCTACAGTTCAAAGTGGAGAAACTGAGCACTGACTAGAATTAGAAACAAGACATAGGTCTAGTAGAGAAAATGATTTGGAGTTAGAAAGTTGAGTATTTGATTTAGAGATAAAAGCAAAAGTTAAGGGCCTTAATGCCTGCAGAGTTTTGAAACTAGAACCAAGCCATTCAGTATGATGAGGATTAAAGTCACCAATAACAATGATATTGGCTGATGGATAAAAAGAGAAGACTTGGATCAGAAATAACATCAAAAAGGGTACAGTCTTGAGATAAAGGAGAACGATATAGAACAAAGTCCGTGGATTCAAACCTATTTTCGCAACAAATAGGTAAATTCTTATGTATTTAAATGCCCAGGCTAAGCATGTGACTATTGGAGTCTTTACAAATTAAAGGAAGATAACCATCAACAATAAGATCACAAGATGAGATACTCAATTTAGTTTCACAAAGAGCAAGTGGTTCACAAAGAGCAAAAAGGTGAACTTTGCAAGAGATAAAAATCAACAGAAGAAAAGTTATTTTGAACACCACAAATATGAGCAAATGATAGATTTAGAGAACTTGGTGATAGCGATAGTTTTTTGTTTTATAGTTTTTAGTACTTTAGTCATTTGTAAATTTGTCAAAGAACTTTGACTCAAAGCATAGACAGTACTCAGTACACTATTTCATAGTCCAAGCTATTGTCTTATTACTACTAATAAACCCTAAGTTGTAACAAAGGGCTGCTAATGTGGCCTTGATAATGCACACCAAAAGTATGAACAGAGACACCATCCACGCGCAACATGGCACTGTAGGTACTCTGATATTTTACAGCTGTAGATGTAATCAGAATCTCTGAGAGCTACCACAAAGTTTTGAAAACCTGATTAATAACCAGCCTCAGAAACGTAAAACTGAGTTTTAGAGCTGTACTCTCATAAGGAGATAATAGAATGAGTTTCCTAATTATAAAAACAGAGACACAAGCAAAACCCATGCATTGAGTCAAGAATATCCAGCATTCAACATCCTTAACTGGAAACAATGTATTATAAATACATCTGCGCCAGCCTAATAGATGAAGGGGAGCGAGGCTAGTAAACTGATAGAATCTATTTAAGTTTTTGCCTAGGAGGCCTTCTACAAGACAGTAGCTGGATGCATTTAACATCTACCAAAGATAAGTATCTTTTTAACGGGTGATGTGAAAGTTATGAGACAAATTTGAATTTAATTATTTGAGCATAATCATTTGTTTTTGTGGTTTTACGCATAGGCATAAATATTCTACAAAAAATAAACTTTATTATGTGAAACACAATTATTTAAAATGAGGTTAAATGCAGCTGAACAAAAATCTTTTTGAAAGCGACTCAAAATGTTTTTTTGCAAATAAACTTAACATATATACAAAAAATAGAAATTGTAAGTCATTTTGAAAAGGAAAGATTTATTTGAAGTACAATATATGATAACCTAAAAAAATTTAAAACTGTTCAATCCTTTTCTAATAGAAAGCACCCTGGTCATCTAGCATCCTGGACTAGAGAAAAGAAAGCTAACTTAACGAGAGTTGTTAACAATCAAAAAGGGATCAGTCAGAGAAAAATAGGTTTTAAATTTGATATAAATCAATCGACAATTAGATGTCAGTTTAAAAAATTGAATATTAAATACAGAAAACGTGAAAAGACTCCAAATACACTATATATATTATAATATTGCCTATAGAACAACAATTAAAGGCAAAGAAAAGAAGCAGGAAACTAGTCAACCAACTCTATAACACAAAATCGCTTCTGGTCAACGATGACGAAAAATACTTTTGTTTTGCAGGGGACAACACACCTAGAAATTCTGGATACTAAACAAAAAACAAAAAAACATGCCCAGAAAGTGTTCGCTTTATGGGAAAAGTGAAATTTCCAAAAAATTTATTAATGTGGATAGTCATATCTGACTGCAGTATGTCCGAGCCATTGTTTTACACCTCCAAGTCTGTAGCAATTAATTCATTGATCTATGAATGTTTAGAAAAACAACTTCTTCCATTCATTCACAAGAATCATGAAGACTTTAATTATTTATCCAGATTTATCAAGTTCTCATTATTCTAAAGATTCTCTAAATTAGATCAATATGTCTTTTACATTGATAAAGAATCCAATCCCAAAATAAATTAAAAATACAAAAAAGAAATTTAAATATTTGATTGAGATCAATTGCAGATGGTTATTTTTTTATTTAAAAAAAGTATAATAATAATAAGTTTTTTTACATTTATAAATAAGTTATTGATATTTTTATTTTGTCCAAAAACTTAGGCATCACTCGTTACTCAACCAAGTGCATTAAGGCAGGGGGTGTTTTTAGTTTAAGTTGGTTTTTCCTAGCCTTTGCCTAAAAAAGCATATCCTACGAGGCAGCAGGACATAAAGCAGGCTGTACTGGGTTTCATGTTACCAGTATCATTAAACCTTAAGTACTACTTATTAAAAATATTATTATAATAACAAGAATTTTTTATTATAACAATAACAACATAATTACAAGTATTACTATAATAACAAGTTAACATTAAGTTTTACTTAATGCATATTAAAAATAAACTTAATAATATAATAAAATTTAATATTCAATAATATTTTAATGTTATCTAATTGCAATAATATAAATAAAGTGAAGAGACAAAAAATATTTGGAATATATAAAAATCATTATAACAATTTTACCAAAGATTAAAGAAAAGATCAGAAGGAATCCCGAGGGAAAAAAACCATGATCTTAAACAAATCATAAATAATGACATTTTGTGCAAACTAAGTTCATTTTACTAATAAATGTGTAAAGAAGAAGTGTTACAACAATTGTCAGTGTGATCAGCCAACTTAATAAATAATTTACAACTATAATATTTTAAAATATATTTTAAAAAATTACTTGATTTTGGTTGTTGATAACTTTTCCTATATCTTCAACATCAATTATTCCACTTGTTCCACTGGTTGATTTACACCCACCACCACCACTTCCAGCAGTTGACTCATCTTCACTTTCGCTTTCATACTTTTTCTATAAATAAAAATTTCATTATTTACAATTACTATTATTATTACATTATATATTATTACAATTATTACATTATATATTATTACAATTACTACTGTTATGATGCTACTGTTACCAAAAAAATATAATTAATATATTATTAAAATTACTGTTACGATAAAAAATTTTGTAACTTTATTACGAAAATTATATTTTACGAAATCATATTTTCTTTACCTTAGAGCAAACTTAAAAGCTTATCTGTCAAATAAATTATTTTAATTTTTTAGATTAAAATGAGAATGACAAAAAAATTGGGAGTTTTTTAAAATAAAAAAAATAATTGGTACAACAATTTAGTTAAAAAAGATATTAAGTAATGTAGAAAGAACATTTTGTTTATTTTTATCAATTGTGTAATACACGCATGCACATGATTGCTGACCATGTTTGCAGGCCTTCTCATAAGAGGCGTGCGATCGCATGCCTTATATGACCTCGAATATAGTTCTTTGTTTTAACAACTTGACCACAGCTCTTTGCAAGATTTGATATTTAGCGCATTTTAAAAATGCCCAAAAAAAAACAAACAAATGCGATTTTTAATTTAATTGATTCCATAATTACAATCAAACTCCCACAAAATTTCCTGAGTACTTTAATGCAACTTAATTAAAGGCAATCATTGACAAAAATATTCAGATTAGAGTTTAAGGCAAAATGAGTACAGAAGCTAATTACAAGCCATTTTATCATGGAAATATAATTTCTAATTAAGAAATTGTTTACTTAAAAAAAGGAATTACAATAATCTTGAAACAATCACATCTGCCAACTATTTTTATCCCAGGGCGTGACATATCGTTGTTTTTTTTAATGAATGTTAACTTGCCTATCTTTATTTATTGACAAACGTCTAATTTAAGAGATTTATGTCAAAAGAAAATTCAAACAATTTTTATTCTAGTTAATAAGTTATTAAATATATCAAAGATGCTTAGTAAATTTATTTAATCTTTATTTTTCAAAAACCTTTTTTTTACACGTTTGCAAAGTACGCGCAAATTACTGATAAATGCACAATAAAAAAACTTTTAAAAATGCAAAGGTTTTAATATGCAATCAAACATTATTTCACTTTATGGAAAATAAGAAAATTTAAAAAAAAGTATGCTAAATTTTATTTATAATGAATACATTTGCTTTAAACTTTTAATGTAATTGCTAAAAACATATAAGAAGCCATCGTTAAACACTATGATCGCTTTTCTCAATAAAAGAAAGCAATCGAAATGTTTGAGCATAGTTTCTTTTGAAATTTTTGCAAAAGGAGTAAAATTACGTATGTATTTGTGAGCGCATGCAAAAACAATTCTAAAACATAATTACTTTTTTCTATAGTGTATTTAGTTATTTTACTTAAAAATGATGCTATTAAAAAAAAGTTTTGGCATTAATTTAAGTCTGTGAAATTAATTGCTTTTCATATTAAGTATGTGTTTTTTATAATAAATAAAAAACTAATGATCGCAAAATTATTTTGAAAAATATTGCTGAAGTGAGACGTTCGTTTTGAAAAATCCTAATCAAACGGCAAAGTTTGCATAGCAAAATTAAAGTCTTTTAAAAATGCGCGCACTTTTGTTGATTTGTTGCACCCTGTATCCTATTAATTTTTTAATAAAATTTTAAACATGCACCACAAAATTTTATTAAATTTCATGGCACTTTTAAACAGCCTAAGTTACTTACATTTTTAAACACTAATTTCTAAAAAAAATAAATAAAAAATCTGAGGGGATGTGAGACCCTTTTCCTCACAATGGATTCGCCTAATTATTCATGGGAAGGATTGATAAAGATTATTAGAGCTGTGATAATTTTTTTTTTTTACTTTCGTTTACAACTAAGTTTACATTAGTTAATTAATAAATGTTTTGATTTTTTTTCCTGGTTTTTATTTATTTTGTCATTCTTTGAATATTTTATTTTTTTAGGTTAATTTTTGGATTTTACTCTCTTTTCAGTTGATGTTTATTCTAATTTTAATTTGCTTTGTTTTTTTTTAGCGCATTTTTTAAACGCGCAAATTATCAAAACTTGCAAAGAGCCGTGGTCAAGTTGTTAAAACAAAGAACTTTATGTGTGGTCATATAAGGCGTGCAATCACACGCCTCTTACGAGAAGGCCTGGTTTGTGTAATGCAGTAGTTTACTGCATTATTATTTTAGTATTGAACCATGATTTTTTATTCCTCTAAATCATTAATAAATAAGGAAAGTAAAAAACTTAAAACAGAAGTAAAAAATAATGTCAACTTTGGTATTTGAAAAAAGAACTTTAAATAGAAAATTGAATAGAAAAAACATCAAGAGGAGTTAGGATAATTAAGAAAAACCATTTTAACAAAGAATCAAGAACAATATGTTTTCCTCAATTTTGCTTCAAAAAATACCTTGAAGCAAGGAAACTTACAATCAGGGACAGTTAAACCAAATAAAAATGAACTTCAATTAAATTGCTTCATGCTTAATTTTATTGAATAATTAACCAACTGCAGCTATAGTGTACTGCAGTCATAGTGATGGTTAGAGCTCTGACTTAACAACTAGAGGTATAGGGTTTGAAGCTGGCTCTGGCCATACCTGCATTATTGATAAGAATGGGGACATGAAATTCCTGGTTAAATGCTATTCTGCAGCACTGTGATAAACCGCTAGTACCTAGACTTCTAGCACCTAAATAGCTAATTTAAAATTTAATTAAAAACTAGTTAAAAAATTATCGGTGTCAGTTATACCAGGTCATAATGAGTGGCTTGCAACTTAGATCAAAACCCACTCTAACATTTGTATATTGTTTAGAACCTAATAAGTGCCAATAATTTTTGAAAGATTACCAATATTAAAAAGAGCTTAAACAAAATATTAAACATTAAACGGTTAGTGATTGATTTTATACTTTAAAATTGCATAAGAAGTTAAAAGAATTGCATAACATATTATAACAAATAAAGAATTTACAAGTTAAAATGCAACATAATATAGAGGCAGGGGAACTTGAATACAAAAATGTTTTCTCACATAGTAGAACACTTCTACGCTAAAGACAGATTATATAATTTTTTTATTTATAATGCAAGTAAAAAATTTTTTAAATATTTTGAAAAACCAAGCTAGACAAAATGCTAGGGAGCCAAAGCAATAAGTTTAAAAAAAGTTGGTGTTAAAATGATAATTTTTTTTTAACTCAACAAATGTTTATTTATCTAAATAATGCTTTTATAAATGAAACACATTGCAGAAAAAGACCTATTCTATTCTAGAAATAATAAATATAAATAATAAAGAAATTCTAGAGTAATTAAAAGTAATTAAGCAAAAGTAATTTTTGTTAACAACACAATTCAACGACATGAAGTTCTGAGCACAGATCAGATCTGAGCGAACGCTGATCCGATGTGCATTGTGGAGATTCCAACTGAACGTGTGTGTGAGTGTCAGCGTAGTCATTAGGTTATTGATTGCCATAACCACATCCAGCGGGATACCCTAATATCTTTTTTGTTGTTGTGGTGTACATTGGAAAAAGTTAGGGCTCACCAGCCACATAGAATAAATTTTTTGTTTATGCGACAATGATCGCAAAAAGTGACCAACGGAGCCGTCCAGACACAACTCAGCTATTATTTAACACAAGCAGCTAATCATTTCTCAACAATGCATCATACATGTTCATTGATTTTTATTTATTTTAACAAAAACAAAACAACAACAATAACAAAATCATTTTTATAGTGAATAGTTTTAACTAAATACACAAATAGTGAATAGATGTTTATGTTTTCACTATTTTATTATTTTCACTTCACATTTATTTCTATATTGAATTTATTATAATATATAATAATTTATTATAATATATAATAATAATAATTGAATTAAATTATAATTGGAAGAAAAAAACGTTTACCTCTTCTTCTACTTTTTTTTCACCTATGGTTTTATTTTCCACAGTAAAACACTGACTTTTTTGATATTCAAGAACAAGAGTTTTCATCCAGGTTGTAAAATCATCACTGATTGTTCCTATTTTATAAAAATCATAAAAATTGAATCTTAAACTTTTATTTGAAATAAAATAAATGAGCATATATATTGGTTGTCATCTAATAGCAATTGAAACTCTATGAATAACTTTAATTGAATTTGTTGTAAATATGATAACGAAATACATAGCAAATGTGTGTGTGGGTGTAAATATATATATACTTATATAGTTTTTCTGTTTTTATTTTAATTATTTTATTTTAAGTTTAAATTAAATCTTTGCTTAGCTGTTTTTATTATAATTACTACATTTAGAATTTAAATAAAATGTTTGCTTTGCAATTTTTATTTTAATTTTGATAGAAAATAAAAAATAAGTTTTGAAACCGTGCATGCCAGCCTAAAAAATGTTTGCAGTAAATTACAAATGGTAATGACTGTAGATGTTCACTAACAAATATTATGACAAATGTCAACATTTATTAAAAAAAAAAGATTTATTAAGACCTGCGTTATATAAACATAAATATAAAAATAATAACAAAAATAACAACAATAACAATAAAATTATTTTTAAAGACAACCTTTTTCTTTTCTTGATACATTCTCATCACCAAGTCCAAGTGGGAATACTTTATTAGCATATAGTTTATGAAGCCATTTGTCCAAACTAATAGCAACCTAGCGACCAAAATACAGTCTATATAATGTCAATTCTTTTTTTTTCAATATTTTTTAATCTTAAGGGAATTTTTGGTCTGTACTTCTTGCTTATGAAGCAAAGGCACTAGGTTCATAAGGAAAAAGTACAGACCATAAAAAATATCATATCATTAAACTTAAAATGCTTAGAGTGTTAATATATAATGTATACAGTGCAGTGATAATCCAAGTCATATTTTCAAAATAATTTCCTAAAAATAACATGTAAAACACTGGAAATAAAAAATGCATTAAATAAAAATAATGTAAGTAAGAATATCTCATGTGTTTAAAAAGAAATTCATTTGTTTGCATGTACAAATGAATGTACAAATGTACACATTTTATTGAAACATTATTATTCAAAAACATCAATTAAAGTTTAAAACTTTGAATGTTCAGAAGTTAAATACCTTTGCGTAAAATATAATTTAACAAACTACACATTTTAACTGATATCTTCAATTTGGTTAATTTTCATTTCAATTTATTAAAAATGTCAAAAGAAAGCAGAACAAGTAGAACAGAAAAAATGAAACTTGACACAGAAATACACAAAAGAACTAGTTATCTAGTTATAATACTTAATGAACTCGACAAAGGAGAATCATCTGTATCTATATCAAAGTATAAAAGCCGACATGTTTTACTTAATTTTGCTGCAAAAAATAGAAAGCAATACCTTGAAGAAAGAAAACTTACAATCGGGGACAGTTAAACCAAATAAAAATGAACTTCAATTAAGTCAGACAATATATATATAGAACTCGACAAAGGAGAATCATCTGTATATCAAAGAAATAAGGCATTCCAAAACAAACATTGTCTAAATGGTCAAAAGAAAAAGTGAGGATGCGAGTCTCCCTATATGAGGATTATAAAGCATGTTATAAAAAAAGTTATATACGACTTTTAAATACCAAATACCAAAACATTCCTGTGTCATTCTCGTTTGGATCTCAAGTTGGATTTTTTTAAATCTCAAGTTATATTTTTTCAAAAAGTCCAACATACGCATAAATCAATCAGTCGAACAAAATATATACATACCCCTTCAGAGTCTGAGTTAACAGGATTCCCATGTAATTGTAGAATACTTGTACAAATTACAAAATTATTTGTTGTAGATGCGCCCAAATAATGCCTAACCTAACTAAATATAACATAAAATAATTGATGAAATATTGAAATATCCGCAAAAATATTTCCCTAATAGTGGCATGCATAAATTTACACCCCATAGCATTTTGTGCAAAATTTATTAAAAAAATTGTCTAATGATTTTATGACTAAAAAATTGACTAACATAATGATATAGATAACTAGTAAAAGTATAAGGTCCTAAAAAACAGACCAAAGAAATATTCTACGATTGAATCAGTGGATAAACACTTAATATTTGTTATTAATTGATTTAAGGCCATAAAAAGATAACTTTTAAAAGTTTTTATTTTTTGATATCCATAGACTTCTACCACCAAAGGTGTTTTCTATAAAACTCTAATAATTCCAGAGTTCACTAGTGATAAATGGGTAACAAGTAGAAAGAAAAGAATCTCACTATAAATAATCATTTTTCACTCTAGTCTCTAGCTTTTTAATAATGATCAGGTTTAGATTAAGGGTTCAAGCGGTTTATTTGATGTTACTATGGGATCGCTCAACAGTGCAGAGGTTTGTAGGCTGATAGGAATATTTCTTCTTTTTCAAATTTTACCATTTTATAACAAGTTTAAGTTACTGTGACAATGAAGTTTTTAATAATTAACTCTCTTAATGGAATGACATTTATACAGTGCAACATGAAAATTGTTAACTATCTTGATGTTACATTAAATCTATACTTTTAAATCATACTTCAACAATACATTAAATTACATCCTGATTCAAATCTCTAAATATACTTTAACAAATACCAACATACAAATCAAACACTTTGCTCATAATAGTAAGAAAACTGATTGGGTAATAGTTAGAGAGGTCAGATTCTTTTGATTTTAACTAAATTCTTATTAACTTCAGAGTTCATAAAAATTGATTTTATTAGAAAATGCGATGTCTAACAATGAAATTTTCTTCTCTAGGATGACAGGAAGAGTGTGGTCAATAGATTAAAGAAGCGAATTAGAAAAAAAGTTATTTGCAAATAGTTCTTCTTTTTTTCTTGGAGAGATAATAAGGTCAGACCCATGTATGAGAGAATGTTAGACTGTTTTTGTTGTAAATTTTTAAGTCTCTAGAACATATATTCTGAGATAAAACTGAATTTAGGATTCTGTGTTTAATTTAGGAGTAACTGAGTTTAAATTAGGAGTAACTGAGTTTAATTTAGGAGTAACTGCTTTTTAATACAATTTATCTTTTCAACTATTTAAAACTTTCACATATTTAATTTTTTTATTCATATTTTTTCCTAAAATTATTTTATGCAGAGCAAATATTTATAACATATATATTTATTACATACATTATAAATATTTATAATATTTATAATGCTTGTATACATTTTGAAACTAATGATTTTTATCATGTAAAAATATTTATAAATAAACTTACAGTATTATAGTGGTCTTCATATAACGAGTTGCCAAGACCAAACACAGTGTACTTCAATCCTTTAAGTAAATTCTTTTGAACACGAAAATCATCACTAGCTTCTTTTAGGTAGGTGCAAAACCAGGTTGCACTCTCTGGAGGAGAACCACCCATATATGTCGATATGATAAAAACACAAAGAGAATTACTGTCTGTCTAGGGAAAAATTAATTTCAATTTAAAAATCAGAGGAAAAAATTTTTAACATGAGCGAAAAACTGATTTATACAAATTTGTAAATTGCTAAGTCAAATCTAAAAATGCTAAGTCAAAAATTTTGGCTCTCTCTCTCTCTCTCTCTCTCTCTCTCTATATATATATATATATATATATATATATATATATATATATATATATATATATATATATATATAGAGAGAGAGAGAGAGAGAGAGAGAGAGAGAGGTTATAATAAGTTATAACTTTGCAATTTACAAATTTGTATAAATATTAATCTTGTAAAAATAATTAAATATTATTAAATGTAAATTACTTTAATTAATATAAACTCATTATTTAAACTAATACATATTAATTATTTTAATAAATACATACTAATTATTTTAATTACAGGGTTCCCACTATTATAACTGAGGCTAAAACGCTCATTTTTTTAATTGTATACAACTTTAGACTTAATAAAACTTTGATATTGAATTTTAGAATTTCATATTTTATCCATATTGGCTACCTAAAAATTTTTTTGCAAATATAGAAATTTAGTTTTTAATGAGTCTATATAAAAAATCTGCAATTTAAGAAGTGCAAAAACATTTTTTAGTTTCTATAAATGGTAAGCTTTATATTTATATAAATTTACTAGAAACAATAAGTATAAAATGATGAACTACTAAAAATGGCTCTAACTAAATCTTATGAATTTGTACCTTAACTTCAAACCACAAGTTCAACTCTGATTTTAATAAGATTTTTTTTTTACTGATTTAATAGACAAAAAAAATTTACTGGGTACTCATGGGGAAGTTAAAAAATTAGAACCATGAAATTTGCACAAAATGCATTAAAAATAATATAAATCGAGATATATTGTAATACAAAGTATGTATATGTGTAAAAGTAATTCATTATCAGTACTAGAATTAAATCTTAAATTAAGCAATTAAACTCAGTTTTTATAACCCTAGCCTCCCATTTATTCTCTTTTTAACATGCTTATTTTTGCCCAGAACTTAGAAAAAATTGTAATTAAACATTTTTGCTTTCTCAGTGTGTCTGGTTTTATGTCTAATGCATGAAGTGTGTCTATGCAAAACACACTACTAAACTTACGCATTTAAAAGCTGTGACATTCAGTTTGTAATGTTAGATAGTAAAAAGACTGCATATATAATTTTTTATAAAGTAGCATAATTATTAATTTTTTATAAAGTAGTATTAGGTAAAAGATAAGAGAAAGACTTTTAGTCTAGTTTCCTTACTTTTTAATATCATGGCTATAAATTTTGTAATAATTTTTCCAACCTCTTCACTATTCTACCCCCTCCCCATTTATTTGACTTTTACATGATTATCATGCTTTATTTTAGATTACAGCTTATACCAAGTTATAAGAGTTATGATTTGTCAACACAATGTACAATTTAATTGTGTAATAAAAAATATTATAATGTTATAAACAATCAATATTAAAATTGAATCTTTTATGCAGGCCTTGCGATAAAGCGTCGGGCGATGTGAATTTTACATTGTCCAAGAGCAATTTTGCGTGTAGCTAGGGCTATTTGCGTCGAGCAAAAAATTTTTTGTTTGAGTATATTTAAAGATATTTTTGAGCGGAATTTTAATGAAGTAATACACAATTATTTTAACATTTAATAAAGTATTTTAAAAACCGCACGCAGTTGATATAAAAGTTTGAATTTAAAAAAATTAAATATGCTCATTATTTACAAGTAGAAAAAATTCAGATTAAAAAAAAAGTTTAAATCTTTTAAGCTAACATTTTAATAAAATTATTCAGCAATAGCAAAGTTGTTGATAAAATTGAACAAAAATACTTTCTTTTAGTTTTAGATTTTAACCTTAAATAATTATTTTACGGGGGTTTGTTAGGTTTTAAAATTATTCCATAGATTTAAAAATATTTATTAACTGTTAGACGTATTTAAAGTATTTAAGAGTAATTTCGAGGAAACATTTTAAAAATTGGTGAGCACAAATAAAAAAAAAAAAAAGGATTAATATTAAAACGTATTCTACTTGATTCAATAAAAAAATACAGTTATTAAAATTTTTGTAAAAAGTAACTCAAAAAAATTACTTAAATAATAACGATCGCTTTAATGTTAAAAGTTACCGAAACTCAACGAAGCGTGCTCAAGAACAGCTGCTGAAAAATATAACGTCAATAGTTTTTTGAATAATTTTTAATAATAATTTTTAAGAATAATTTTTTCGCTGAAATATTACTTTTATACCTATAAGATTTTTATTCTAACATTTTATTTTATTTTACTAGAAATAAAATTCCTTGTTAACATTAAAAATCTATTCAAAACATTCGTTTAAGTTTTTTATTAATAGGAGTGATTGTGCTTATCAACCGCTTTATGAAAATAAATAAAAATCGCTTGTAAAAATATTAGCTATTGCACAGTTTTTAATCGTACAATATTAAAATTTCCAGTTTATTACTTGCTGACTTTTTAAAAAGAAAAAAATAATTATTTGAAAAACTTTAAATTACATATTTGAGAAAAAAAAAATCAAATATTATCATATTTTATAATCTTTTTTAAATTTTAGTTATGTTTTTTATTCGTTTAGTAAAGACAAAACGTGTCAAACGTCGAGAAAATAAGCAAATGTTTTTACATTTTAAAAAACAAAACATTCTAAAACATTTTTAAATAATAACATTTCTACATTAATGATTTAAAGTAGTTTTGCAGTAATTAAGTAAATTGGTGCAGTTAATGTCGAAAAATATGAAAAGCAAATAAAAAGTATTTAATGACGTCAAAAATCACGTCTTGCTTATGCGTGGCCCAGTTTTTATTCATCACAAGGCCTGTTTTATCTCACAGCTTTTAAATATTTTTAGTAGTTTAGTTGTGCTTAAAAGCACTATATGCATCAGACATAAAACCAGACAAGCTGTGCTCAATTTCAATTTTTTCTAAAATTGTCCGTTTAAAAAAGTAAATGGATGGAGGGGGATGAGAGGAGGTGCTAGGGCTATTGTTTTATTTATTTCCACCTCATATCTGTGTACAAAAGCACCTAGATCTCTTTCTAATACACTGTTGAAGAGGTCATAAATCATTTCAGGTCAGTTTGTATTTCTGCTTGCTTATCAATGGAATCTTCTATGGCTATTATTTTGCTATCATTAGCATACATTTTAAATGTGTTTAGCACAACTTCTGGCAGGTCATTTATAAATAACAGAAACAGTATTGCACCCAAAACAGAACCCTGAGGCACGCCACTGGTAACATACCTATTCTGAAACTGTATTACTAATAACAACTCTTTGTTTCCTATTTGCAAGTAAACTTTCAATCCAGTTATAAATTTTACCAGTTATACCATATGCTTTAATCTTTATCAATAATCTTTTACGTTTTACTTTATCAAAAGCCTTTGCGAAGTCAAGATATATTACGCATAATGATTTACCTTTTGCAGCTTCAAATGTAATTGTGTCAATTGTCTTAATAAGATTTGTTGTGCATGATTTGTTTGGAACAAAACCAGTTTGCTCAGATATAAGTCTATTTGAAACTCAGTGCTCCAGAATTGTGTCCCAAACAAGCTTTTCAAGCATTTTACAAATCACAAATGTTAGGGATACTGATCTGTAGTTTTCTGGTTTAAGTTTTGATCCCTCTTTGTAAATTGGTGATATATTTGCAACAAACCAGTGGTAAGGGACACATCTAGTGTCAAAGCTTAATTTGAAAATTTGAATAATTGGGTCCACAAAACCTTCTGCAGCATGCTTTAAAACAAAAGGGCTAATTTCATCAAAACCCATCGCTTTTGACTCATCTATACCTTCTATCATTTTGAAAATTTTTTCATAAATTATCATATTAGATAATTTACTGCAATCGCACTGGTTTTCACATCTTTGCAAGAACTCGGGTATTACTTGTTCATTATCATTAACAAAGACTGACTGAAATTGCTTATTTAATATACCTGAAATGTCTGATATTTCAGTTGTAACTTGATCTTTTTTTATTCTTGATTGCTCTAATTTGCGATTTAACGTTTTGTTTTCTACTTACATATAAGAATAAAAGTTTTAGTGCAAGCTTTGCTCTCTTTACTAAATCCATTTTGTATTCTCGAGTTGATTTTTTGATTTGCTTTTTAACATTAGCACACATTTTGTTAAAAGCCTTTCGGTATTCTTGACTTTGCCGATGCAAATTCAAATAAAATATAGAATGTTTAATTTTTATTGCTTTTATAACTTTTGCATTTAACCAGGTTTGACTGTTCTTTTTTTTTATTATTCAAAATAGGAACAAACAATCAACAAGATTCATTATATGTATGCAAAAATTGCTTATAACATTCACAGACCAATTTTTCATAAAATAGCTCAACCCAGTTGACTTGTTTCAAGTATTTATTCATTTGAAAAAATTACCTTTTTTAAAGCAAAACTTATCTTTTGTGAGTACTGTATTGTCACTAAAACTAGTAAAATATTGCCAAGTAATAGAGTAATGGTATCTTCCCTTTTCATAGTGGCCTAACTGTGGACCACATTGAAGAAAATCAATGCAATTTGGGTTGCAAACTAAAACAAGATAAAGGGTGTTAACTGCAGGCACAGAGTCACTTTGTTTAAATGTTGGAAAATTTACTATTTGGTATAGAGATCATTTAAAACTTTAATTTTTTAATCATTTAAAAATCTAATTCAGATATTTAAAATTATATAATCTAAAATTATAATAGTTAGAATTTTAAATTAAGTAACCATTTAATTTTATAATCATTATAAAAAATTGTAAAAATCAACTGTTGCTTGTTAAATTTAAAAAATTTTCAGAATGCAAATTTCCTTTTGGAATTCTTTCTTTTTTAAATGCACCCTTGGTACATATATACATATATATATCAAGCCTTCCCATGAAAGGCGTGCGGTTTTTTTTCTCGTATCTAGAAAAAATAAAGCGGATATTCAAATATTATTAAAAATTTAAGGAACATTTAAATTTAAGGAACATTTCAGCATTATTATGTAACTTGCAAACGGCTGTGTTCACGTTTTCTAAAATATTATAATCGCGTGTGGTCATACGAGACGAAAAACCGCACGCCTTTCCTGGGAAGGCTTGATATATATATATATATATGTATATATATATATATATATATATATATATATATATATATATATATATATATATTTCTAGTTAGACAACTTTTATAAAAAGAAAAACTCTGCTATAAAACCCTAATTTAATTGTAAGGGTAAAAGGAACATTTATACCTTTTATGATTATATTCCTAGTGGTGTTATCACAATAAATTCCTAATCTGCAAAACACCACAAATAACATTTAGTTGTCAAAAACTGATTTTATTTAAACATCAGAAAATTGATTTTATTTATACATCAGAAAATTGTATTAAGAAAACTGTTCAAAACATAATCATTCGACATAAAAAAAAAGTATTAAAACAAAACTCTTGCTAGTTTTTACTATCTAATTTATAAATAAAAGATATAAAAATATAATTTTCAAGCAAAAAAACTAGAATAAAAATGTTAAAATTAAAAACCTCTTCAAGTAGAACTTCTTCAGGTTCACAATTTTTCATGTTGATAACAGATGTTTTTATGCCATTGCTTTCTGCATACTCTTTAAATATTTCACTAAAATACTAAAAAATAATTATTTCGTATTATCTTTACTCCGCGACATTTCAATACATATTTGTGCATAACACTCTTTAAAAAATTACATTTCTAATTAAAAATAAAATCATTTTTTAAAAAAATTATTTAAATTTTTTTTTTTTTTGCCTAATGTTTTTTATAAAATGATGATTATTTTTGAAATTTTTATTTAATTTCATTTCTTTTGAAACCCAACATAATATACTTTTGAAGAACTTTTTTTTATAATATCAGGGACCTGTCTGTTTCTCAATCAGTAGTTCATCAGGAAGCTTTCTCACAAACCTACTGATAGAGAAATAAATTATTATAAAAAATTAGATAAGTGTTTTTACTAATTTATTATTGTCCTGTTCTTTAAGAACATTGAGCACTCTATTTGTAGAATACACTTTCATAATATATATATATATATATATATATATATATATATATATATATATATATATATATATATATATATATATATATATATATACAGGCAAAATTTATTTTAATTTTTTTATTTTACTGTTTTTATTATTTAATTTATTTGTTTTCTTTAATTGTTTTTTCATTTTTCAACTACTTTATTTAGGGATTAAACTTTTTACAGTCTTCTAAATTAGTTTTTTTTTTACAGTAGAAATTAAAGATGACCATTTAAGAGTGTGTGTGTGTGTGTGTATATATATATATATATATATATATATATATATATATATATATATATATATATATATATATATATATATATATTATAGGCAAATATATATATATATATCAGGGGCTAATCTAGACTGTTTTCGATAGCGTCAACCATATTTGGGTGCCACCCAAATGACAATTTGAGGATGTTTTTTTACAGCAAATATTGTTTTTTTCGGAAAAAAGAACGAGAGGGTACCGCCGTCTAAATATTTTTCCTAGAATAGGTCCTGCATATATATATATATATATATATATATATATATATATATATATATATATATATATATATATATATATATATATATATATATATATATATATATATAAATGTATATATATATATATATATATATATATATATATATAAATATATTTATATATCAGGCCTTGTCAAGAAGCTTTTCCGTATTCACGATTTCATGTACATGTTTCGCAATTTATGTTACGCAAAAACTTTTTTCAATAAGTTTATTTTACACAGTCTTTTAAAACAGATTATGCAAAAAACATTAAACTGTAATTATTTGTTGTAAAAAAACATTTTTAGAATATTTCTTTTATTAGATAAAAAACAGATAGATATCCTTTTTTCTATTTTCCGCTTTTAAAAAAAATATATACATATTTAAATTATTTGATCAAATTTAAATTAATTTTATTATTATTCATAGTTTTAGTAATTTATTTGATTAAATTTAATTAAAATTATTTTAATTTAATTAATTATTTCAAAAGGCTTTGTTTTACAATTTTTTTTATACTGATAAAATTTCCAAAATTCATGTTAAAATAAAAAAAAAAATGTAATAAATTTAATTCAAGTTACTTTAAAATGTTTGCTTTACATAAAATTTAATTTTAATTTCATTTAAGTTTCAGGTAAGTTCCAGTTCCAGATACTGGTTTGAATAATATATATGCGCTTTTGTAATTAATAATTGAGGCCTATACAAAAAAATTCTTTTAAACTCGAGTTTAAATGTTATGTTTAGGTTTTCCATTTGCTATTAAGTTCTTATAAAAGAAACCAAACTTAAAACCGATTAAAAATAACGCAATCAATAAATAAACTCTTAAAAAGCCCAACTTATATTTATTTTATTTTAAAAACAAAACTAATAATTCTTTTTGGATTTAGTAAGAATTAGTAAAAATACATTAGGTTTCACAGTACATAAAAATAAAAATTTTAATGGAAATAAAAAACAAAGCCGAAAAGCAGTAATCTTTGTTTAATTACAATTTTTAATTTTATCAATAGCCAGTTAGCGTAAAAGTTTTTTTAAAAAGGGGAAAACCCTATCTAACTGTGTTGTAAGTACACTTAAATGATTTAAGCAATTTAAATTGAGGGAACATTTGTTTATGGTTTATTTTCTTTAAGGGATTTAAATTAAATCCATTAAAGAAAATAAACCATAAACAAGTGTCCCCCTCATTTTAAAAAAATAATCATAAAAAGAATGTTTTAAAGAAAAAAAGGCAAGTTTAAATAAGTATAAGATTTTAAAATAAGGATTTTTTTTTATCACTATTAATCATCAAATTTAATTTATAAATTTTTTTATAACAACATTGTTTAATTTAAAGATAATTATTTTAAAAGACTTACAATAATTTCTAATGTATTTTTGAATTTAATTACAATGAGGTATTTTAAAATACGCAACTGACGCAATTAAACTTTTAACTTTTTTTATTTAATAAAACTACATTTATTCACATTGCGCTTTTCCGTTACGCAACAAAATCTCATAACAAGGCCTGATATATATAAAGATCACATATATGTATAAGTTACACATAAATATGTATTGAAACATTAAATTAAACAATTAGAGCTGCAGATAAATTGATACAAGACAAAAAATCAAAATATTTGAAATATCTACATAAAAATAAACTCTCTTTTAGGAAAGATTTTTATTTAGAAAGGTCTATTTCATCAATGACATTAGTTTTTTAAGTTATCAACAAGTCTTGCTAATTTTTTTTTTCATTTAAAAAAATACATGTAAAATTTTATGACAATCTGATCTATTAATGAAAAAAAAAAAAAAAAAAAAAACAAGCTGAGCAATGGCATTAAAAGAGTAATGTTAGCTGATCTTGTGGAGTTTTTAATCTACTATAGCCTATTTAGATAAATAACTGTTACTATTTTTTCCTACTCTTACAGCATTTTCAAAAAAAAAAAAAAAAAAAAAAAAAAAAAAAAAAAAAATCAATGAAAAGATTGCTGTCCCATTCCAAATCCTCAGCAATGTAGAGGCACTCCTTTGTGGCAGCAGGCAATAAGATAGTCAATATATGTACTGAGACCCAGGCAGCAAGCTATATTTGTGTGATTTGGAGATTTTAACATATATACTGCTTTTATGTTGTGTAATATATGCGCAAATTTAAAAAATAACTTTTTTAAATAGGCGCCATTTGTACTTTTTGTACTAAAATAGTTTCTGCTTATTGACAGCTGTCAATATATAAACATTGGGGTTAGTAAATATAAAGAAATATAATTGAACAACACGCCTTTATTGTTAAAAATTATGCAGTAAAATGTTTTACACTAACACTTGTTTCAATAATTCATTAACAACTCACTCTTGTTTATGTTTCATAATGAATTATATTTAAAAAAATTAAAATAAAATACTTAAGAATCAAAAAGACAACTTTTAAATTCCTCACATAATAGTTTCATGACCTAATAGAGATACTCCTGCTTAAAGCAATTAATATTCTAAAAAAACTTGAAAATTGCTGGTACCCTTGCTAAATACCCTTGTGATTTAGTTGGTAGAACGGTAAAACATCTTTTTGAAAAAGCCAGTTTTCAGTCACTTAACAACCCACTTAACAACCACAAACCACTAGATTCTGAGCTAGAACTATAACCACTGCGCCATGGCATCCTATTTTATGTAGCACAATAATTTTAATAGTGATCTGTAGAGTAACTTAATCGATTTATTTGTTGAGTAACTTAAGTCAGATTTATTAATTTTTATTTACTCTACTCTAAAAGTATTTCATATATACTTACAATCTTCGAAAAATAGAAGTATAAAACATGTTTAAAAGCTACTAAAAAGCTAGACAAAAAACATTTTTGCTTGAAGAGAGAAGTTTTACTTAAATAGTGTCCTCTAAAGAGCTGTATCAGATATTAATCTGAAAATTTTAAAAAATGTTTTTCTTATATATCATACCATGTTACATCACTTGGCATGGAAGTTGAAAAGGTCACATGCAGTTAAAAAAAAAAAAAAAAAACTTTCTTATGTGTTTAAACCTGATAAAAGTGCAATGATTTAAAGGGAATTTTGTTTGTTTTTCTCTTTTAAAAAATGCTTGAAATTTGTGGCTGGATAGCTCAATTAGTGCTAAATAAAATATTGTGCAATATAGGTGCAATATAGCTAACTCAGCATACTAGTAGCACTTTAGTACGCAAAAATATTAGTTAGTAATAGTGATTTTGCCGGTTATCCGGTTTTGCGGTTAACCGGATTATGTTCGAATATCAAATATTTATTTTCGAATAATAAAAACCGACTTAAAAATTTTACGAAATTTTATAGAAAGTAACAACGTAATTATGACGATCATTGTTTGACAAATGTTAATTTATCAAAGATTATAATATATTTCTTTTATTAATTTAAATGTTAATTTAATCAGTTTTGTTTTATAATATATTCTTAAAACAATTTACAATAGAAATCTCAAAGATTTATTTATTACTTTTACAACTCAAGCAAGAAAGTTTCTTCAGAATATTCTGGAACTCTAATTTGCTTATTCAGCGTATTTTTTGAACCAATAGAATTTGTTGATTCGTAGATTTGGCGGTATTTTAGTGTTAGCAAATCGTCTTTTCTGCAACAAGTTGTTTCCATCTATGTCCGCATAACAATTTAAAATTACATTATTATTTAGTTTTTAAAATACACGCTAAAAAAATTTACTTCATAACATCTCATTTTTCCAAATCAAATGTTTTTATATGAGAAAATGATTTTAAAACATCTGCTGATATTAAAACATTTAAACTATACTTGTACATTATTCCTACCTTTTTTAATTATATAACTAAAAAGATAAATTATATTATAATATAAAAAATATATATATCTTTTTCCATGTTTTGTTATAAATATATGATATAGGACTGCATTCACTAACTGTCTTGAAAATGTAAACTTTAACATTAATTTTTAAAAAATTTGTTTAAAACGCTCAGTTCGTGAAATCCTGTATTCAGAAAGCGTCACTAATTTACCGAATAGTCGGTTATCTGCAAATTGATGAGAACTGTTATCTGGTTTTTGAAACGGATAACCGGCGAAATCACTAGTTAATAACAAATTAAACTTTTGCTTTTATGAATATTTGTGGTTGTTCCAATGCTAAACTAACAATATCTTCAAATATTGAAGGTTGATATTAGAATATTGTAAAGCAAAATAAATAAAATTCAAATTTTAAAAAATGTACAAAATCAAAAAGTTTTAATGAAATCAGAGATTTTGAGGAATTGACTTAATAAAAACTTGACAAAGATTTTATATTAACCATTTATATATACACAATTTTAATAAAATTAAGCATATTACATATAAACCATTTATATATAAAAACTATTGTTTTAAGATTTGTGTTAACTATTGTTTTAATGTTTAGTTAAGCACATTTAAATTTTATCTCCAGTATGTAAAAAGTAATATAAAAATAACAAGTAATAAAGAAAAAGATATAATTATTAACAATTTACCTTAGCATTTCCAGTTTGAGTTCCATAATATACTTTGAAAGGTGTATTTTCAACTTCAACACGTTTGCCTTTTAGCTAAAATAAAATTTATTATAAAAACACACTAAATTATGATAATAATTACTAAATCTAAATTTATCAACTCTAGAGAAGGCCTCAGTAGAAGAGACTTTATTTTCTGGTTACAACCCTCTCAAAACTCTATAACTCCTAAACACAAACCTTGACAAACAAGGCTGCTGCACAGAGAAATGAGTTTAGCACAATACTACCAGGGAGGTGGTGAACTTGGAATTTTTCTCTGATGAAGGAAAGGTTCTACAGCTACACCACTGCCACAAATATTTTTATATTATGGGTATATTATCAATTAAAATGCATAATAAGTCAGTTAAACTTGATTTAAAAGTCAGGTTTGAAAAAATAAAGCTAGTTTGTACCCTAAGTTATTATTAATATAGGGATTGAGGTGAAAACTTTATATATAAAATTATAATCATGTATTTTTTTGCATGATTTTTCTGGAATACTCTCAATTTTTATTATTTATTATTAACCCTTAAACCATTAAGACCGTCTACAGACGGTCATTGCTAAATGTAATACTATTCAAATTAAATAAAAAATCGGTTTTAACCACTAAGGCCATTTTTAGTCTGTAAAATTTCCTACAAATGACAACAAGTTTGAACACGTTCTGGCGCGTAGTTTGATTATTTTGGTTATTCTTGTTGAAATTTTCCTGTAAACAGCCGTCAAAATTATTTGTGATTGCAGTACAAATTCAAATTATAAAAATAATATATTCAAACAGCTCAATTGACTTGAGATTTTTTGTGGTAAGTTGTTCAACCTTATATTATAATAATATGTTTTTTGTTTGATAAATAAAATTTTTTTTTTTTATTTAAAACGAGTACTTTATGAACACCTTCTACAGACGGTGTTAGTGGTTTGACTATAAAAATTTCCTCTTATTTTACCTACATATATTTATATTTTATTTTAATTTTTTTTGTACTTTTTTTCCATATTTTTGATTTTAGAAAATGCCACAACAAAATAATGGAAAGAAAGTTTAATCTCTCTGCGATGAGTGATGAAGAAAATGTAAATTTTATGAACTCAGCTGAAACTGATGATGAATGTGAAGATTTTGACCTCAGTTTTGAAGATCCAGATTATCATTGCAATGAGCTTCAACCTGAACCTAATACAACAATAAACAGTAATTTCCAACTACTGGATTTTGACAACAGATTCAAAGATCCAGATTATCAGTGTGATGAGCTTCAACCTGAACATAGTACCATAATAAATAGCTGTTTGCAACTAATGGATTCCTCATCGCTTACAAAGGCACTTCATTTTTCAATGAATGTTAGCAATTTTAATTTGAGTGAAATTGATGAACCAAAACAAACTGTAACTTCAAACAAAGATATGAGTATAACACTGCAAAATGAAGATGCTAATCCAGCACTTCACGAACTACAAACAAAAGCTACTATGTCAACACCACAGAGTGAAGTTGCGATAAAAACGTCATTCAAACCAAAGAAAAGAGCTCGATCACCATTACCATGTGTAGAGGTTTGAGGACCACCTGTAACACCATCAGCTGGTGGGTTCACAGGAGCTAGCTTGGTAAATATTCACAAAAACTCAGATGAGTTCAAACAAATCGTTTGGCGTAAAAAGTGTATGCAATTACACGTCAATGAAGTAGCATTTAGAGGAAGTACAGTTCACCACCTGTAGCAAAAAAACCGCAATCACCATCGGATTTTTTTAACTATTTTTTTACAGACGATCTGGTAGAATTGATTAGTTTGGAAACGCATCGAGCTGCAATTACAAAAAACTTGAACAGAAAGTTCAAAATTGACAAATATGGGATTCGTCGATACATTGGAGTTTTGATTTTTATGTCAGTTTACCGTTACCCAAACATTGAAGATTATTGGAGTGAATTCGGATTTCGACACATACCAGAGAGTATGCCAAAAAACAGATTTGAGCAGATAAAAAAATATTTATCGTTCAACGATGAATCAAAACGAGTCAAAAAAGGTGATATAGGATATGACCCAATTTTTCGGATCAGAAAAGTTGCAACACATTTGCTTGAGCGCTTTGATTCAATTCCAAAAAATGCTCGATTTTCAATTAACGAACAAATGTGTTCCACAAAAATGGTTCACCATTTACGGCAGTATTTACCTGACAAACCTCATAAGTGGGGCGTAAAGCTCGTTGGATCGGCTTATGGTGTTGACATCACCACAGTTTTGTGGAAGGATACGAAGAATGTCAGACTGTGCTCAACTTATGTTGGTACTAAGCCCTTCTAAAGAAATAATACATCAAGTCAATTATCAAAAATAGCTCGATACATTAAAAAAAAAAGTTCATATGATGAAATTGATTGTCCACAAATTATCAGAGAGTACAACACACATATGGGTGGTGTCGATTTAATGGCAGGCCTTGTTTTAAAGCGTTACGCCTAGAGCGATTTACGTACGCCTTAAGCGATTTTTACGTACGCGTAGAGCTGTTTTGGTTAAGCTACTTTTTATCATTTTTTAACTTTTAAATTAGCGGTAACATAAAAGAGGTAATTAATTTTTAAAAAAACCACATTAACTTTTGAATATATGTAAAAATATTTATTAGAAAAAAAAATTACGTTAAAAATAATTGAAGTAACTTTTTATAGCAACATACGTTTTTATAACATTTAATTTTATGCTTAACTTTTTATTCAAATATTTAGTAACATGAAAAATTGTTCGTCAATCCTTAACTACAAATTTTTTGCTAATGTTTTTAATAAAAAGTAACTTTTTTACTGAAAACTTTAAAAAGTAATTTTTACTTTTTAAAGTTTTCAGTAAAAAACTTAAAAAATCTATATTCCAAACTTATTAATACAGAATATAAATGTTTTTTGTAATATAAATTTTTTAAGAGTTTTTTACTAAATTCATATTAAAAAACATTTGCAAAAAATTTGTAATTAAGGGTTGACATTTTTTTAATATATCAAAAAACGTCTTAATATTTTTGTTATCATGATAACAAAAATATCAAGACATTTTTTCAAGATATTAAAAAAAATGTGCCAATGAATAAACAATCTATTTGTATTTTTCTAAAAATTACTTCATTAATTATTACTCTTTGCTTTTCTTATTAGTTAAAGGTATATAGATACCTTTGCTTTTAAGTTATGCGGGGGGAGGGGGCCAGCACAGAAAAAAAAATTACCTGTTACTCGCAATTTTTGAATGAAGACAATTTGTTAAATTTCTTCTGCGTGCGATTCAATAAATTTTTTTCATAGATCAAGTTATAAGGTAAAGAAATCACGAGTAGACTATAACATCCGCTGATGACACTAATATTACGTCGAATATATTTATATAATGGAGGTTTCATTATGCACGCACACATTACAGATTCCGTTAAATAAATACTAAGGCACGTTTTAGTTTAATGACAGTCTCTATTTTTTATTAATGAATATTTATTTTTCTTTATAAAACAAGACAAACTAGTATATAAAAACCTTTTATATTTCTATTCTCTCTAAATTGTTTAAAGTTCGAATATGGATTGTATTTTGAAGGACAAAAGATTTCCTTTAAAAACTTTTAAATCTTGGGACTTTGCCGATGCTTTGCCGATGCGATGATCACAGAAAAAGAGAAGACTTATGTTATTAAAATCAAATGTAAGTTATCTGATCTTCATCAAAATAAAATATAATCCTAAAACAATTGTGCCGTAAGGGCAGCTGCCCTACGGTTTATAAATAACACAAGTCATGTTAAAATATTTTAACATGTTACTATATTTAATTTAAGTTGATATATAAATAAAAATAAAAATATAGTTTAATAAATAAATTAAATTTGTTCTTAACAAAGATTACCTCATATTTATTCTTTTTTTATTTTATTAAGTTAAATTGCTTACAAACAAAGAAAAAAAAGAGGTTTTTTTTTTTTTTTTTTTTTGTAATTATACGTAGAATGAAAATACTTTTGAGTTTGTTTATAAGTTAAGGAACTTAATTTTTAATAAACAAATTTTTATGAACGTTTATTATAAACAGATACGATTCAAATTATTAAATATACTTATATTATTTTAGTTGAGTATTTTTTTAAGTTTGCACGATTAAAGTTTTGCGGAGAAGTATTTGTTTTTTGTTTTAAGAATAATTAAGAAAAGAGCTTGCATAATTAAGACTTTTATATTTAATTTAATTTTTTTTTAATTTCCTAAAATTTAAAAAAAAAAAGATTTAATTGTTAAAAACGATATTTCTGTATAGCTCTGTTTCTTTGTGACTTGTTTAAAATGTAAAACATTTTTACAATAACATAAAAAATTTATGAATTAAATTCCTGGCGAACGCGTTCTAAACAATGTATCAAAAATATGCTAAAAGCAGACAAAACGTTTTTATATTTTTATATAACGCAAGTTGAAACGCTAAGCAAGATAAATTTAAAAAAATATTCTTTCCTAAATTATTCTTTGCTAGTCAAAACAAAATCGCTGTTTAAATAATTAACATGGTTTTTGTTTATCAATGTTAATATTTTTTGTTTACTCCAGAAATTTTTAAAATTAAAAAAAAATCATTATTTTTTATTCAATAACGATTTATAAACAATAATTATTCAAAAACAAATTTCAGAAATAATTAAAATATATATATATTTTTTTTTTTACTAAATAATATTGAACTAAAATTAATAATAAGATAACAATTAAAAACATTACAAACTTTTTATTATAAATTTACATTTAAAACGTGTATAGTTATTTGAGTTAATTGTTAAATTGAACTAGTTAGCGGTTATTTATTTATTGCGGTAGTTAAAACACTTAACGTCTATAAAAAAAAATAAAGATAATTTTATGAAGTCAAATATCGCGTTAAGCTAATGCGTTAAGCACTTTTTAATTTAAAACAAGGCCTGAATGGACTCTTATTTGGGTCGCAATGGACTCAAAATTAAAACTCAGGACATGGCAACCAGGATCTTCTATCATTT